CATTACGAGTGAAGGGTATAAAGTGGTCTGTAACGCAGGCTCAAAAATATTCTGAATTTTTCAGCAGGAGATCATACAAACCTATTCAGCCCTTGGCATAACTTCATATGATCACGACCAAACTATTAATCTATTTGCCAATCTGTTGAATGACCTCACGTCATTCTTTTCTGTCCCAACCCACCAGGCAAATTGGGCCCACCCCAAGACAGGTGCACCGTGGTTTAACCGTAATTGCAAACAAGCCAAACAACATCTTTGTGCTATTTATAATGATTACAAATCCTCAGGGGCGATTACGCTTCCCAAGGAGTACTATCAGGCAAAATCAGCTTACAAATATGTGCAGAAAAAGGCCAAACAGGAATGGCAATTGAACCGCTGGCAAGCACTTATAGCTGCCTCAAGTACCCGTAATTCCCGAAAATTCTGGCTGTTGGTTAACAGAAAATCTAAAAGATACCCCTTAACAGTTATTCCTGCCCCAATTTGGGAATCCTTTCTAAGGAATTATTTTGCCTTACCAGACCTTAATATTAATACAATCGATGGAGTCTATGAGCAGCTCCCTCTTTGGCCACCCACTGACCCGGAAGAAATCCACGGACTTATTTCTAATCTTAAAATCGGAAAAGCCCCGGTCCTGATCTAGTCCCGGCAGAAGCTATAAAGCTTCATGCTGACTGGTGGGCGAAAATCTTGGCCGCTACCTTTGATGCCGTAAACAACAGTGGGAAGGTACCAAGAATATGGAAGGATGCGATTATTGTTCCAATTCATAAAAAGGCTCGACAGATGACCCGGGAAATTACAGGAATATCAGTTTATTGTCATTAATCGGGAAAATATATGCACGGTTCTTGTTAACTAAGCTTACTAAGTGGGCCGAAGAGAACAACCTGATTGGGCCTGAACAGGCTGGTTTTAGACCGAATCAGTCAGCGGTTGATCAGATCTTAGTTTTATACCACCTTGCCCGGAAATACTCCTCCCCAAATAGAGGCCAACTTTGTGCGGCCTTTATTGATTTAAAGGCCGCTTTTGACAGCATCCCCAGAGGATTGCTTTGGGGAAAACTAGCCCGATGGGGAATAGACAAAAGACTTTTGTGGCTAATAACTAAACTGCATGACGGATCGGCCGCTAGGGTGAGAATCTCTCCGGCAGGCGACCTCTCAAACTCAGTAACTATCAATAGAGGTGTTCGCCAAGGATGTATCCTTGCTCCGACCCTTTTCAATCTATTTATAAGTGATATGAGGGCGCCTCTGATAGAGGCTCAAGAAACGATCCACGCCCCGTCTTGCCCAATATCGTTGCCCCCTTCTACTCTACGCAGACGACGCAGTGATCCTATCCTTTTCAAGAGTCGGCCTTAGGAGGGCATTAAAAATTTTCGATGTTTACTGTAAATCAAATTTTCTTACAATTAACCATGTTAAGTCCAAAGTTCTAATTTTCACCAAGAGTAGAAAAACCTATAATTGGAGAATAGACGGAAAAGCTATTGACCAAGTCTTTAAATTTCAGTACTTGGGAGTCTTCCTCCAACACAACATGGGCTGGAAGGTCCATGTTGCATATGTATTAAACAGAGCTAAAGCCCTTTCCTATGCGCTATTGCGTTTTTTCTTTCAGATGGGGCTTTCCATATTCCATCAGTGTTAAAAGTTTTCAAGGCAAAGGTGATTGCAACAATAGCATATGCAGTCCCATTATGGGGGTCCTTTGCTAATCTAACCCAGTTGGAGGTAATCCAAAACCAGCTTTTAAGAAGGTTGTTAAAATTACCCAGGTGTGTAAGCAATACTGCTATACGACTGGAACTAAATGTTACATCTCTAGAAACCACATTATGGAAATGCATCCTCTGTTACTGGTTGGCTTTATGGCATAAACTTCCAAATCTCCACCTGATACAATGCCTCTGGAGAGATGACTTCCCTAGCCCCTGGGCAAAAATAATACATGGGAAACTTGTGTCCCTAGGACTATCTCCATCCGAACTATTAAAATTGGATTTAACTTCGGCCAAAAGAATTATAACTCACAAATTAGAGGAGATGGATTTACAATTTAATATTGCGACAGGTGGAGGCACCTGTTCGCCGATAAACCTTGGCTTAACTCCACCAACGAAACTTCCATCTTACTTAACTACCTTATCTGTGGTGACGCACAGGTATGCCTTTATAATGGCTAGATTCAATGTTTTCCCATCAAACGTGTTGGGTAACAGACTCTCCAACGGACAGATCTCACTCCTCTGTGACTGTAAAAGCGGATCTATAGAATCGTTATATCATATAATCTTCTGTTGTCCATTACATTCGGCTTCACGGTCCAAGTTTCTGGCCCCATATTTATCGAGAATTGCTGACAGTCCTCAGGAAGCCCAAATAATATACTTATTAAACGACGAAGATACAAGTAGATCCCTTGCAATCGCTAGATACCTGATTAATGTTTTATTTCAAAAGAGGAGAAATGGATCACTGTATGTTTCTGACAGCTTAGCTAAACTTAAGAACCATCAATAAGTGCCAGAAATAAGACGTATACCCCCAAAATCTGATGGATCGGAATTGCGGTTTACATAGAGGGAGCTTATTGTGTATAGTGTTTACTTAACTAAAGTAAAATTGGTTTTATAAGGGTGTTTTAACTTGGAACTGTTTAAATTGTATTGTTTATGGATAAATTCTGATGTATTGTTTTTGATATGGGCCAATGGCCGTAATAAATCTAAATCTGAAATCTGACATGAACCTACATTTACTTTAAGTACCATAGGAAGCATAGGCAGCCATTGCTGGTCCGTTGGTGAGGTGAGGAAATCACAGTAGGGCATTGCCTTCATTGGGACCAACTTAAATGCTAACAGACAGTGAGCAGGCTTTTATGTCAGTGGCTCTCAAAGGGCACACTGGTGTGGCAGGAGAGGATGGCAAGTGTGGTTCAAGGACAATCAATATATATTGGAAATGATTCCTGTTCGTATGCAGCTGCATTGTTTTATACTTTCTGGATGTCCCACAATCATATTATAAAGGGGTTGTGCTCTATGTTATAAATAAAGCGCTGCTAGGAGTATCCTTTTCTTTTCTTTTCCAATGCATTTCTTAGCAATAAAAAAAAATCAGTGTGGCGTAAGCACATTTTTATTCTGAAAATGTGGCCCAGATAAAAAAAAGTTTGAAAACCTCTATTTTATGTTCCTACTTATAATAATGACCAGTGCTTTTTTTCTATAAAAAATTGTTAAGGGGTACTCTCATTTCCCTACTGATATTGAAATATGGCTCCTCAATGAGGCCAAACTTAGATTCACAAAATGTTTAGGGGTACGTGTATGCCTGCGTCCCCCCAGAAAACAAGCATTGATGATGATGATGGTTTATTATTTCCCCAGCCACTCTGGGCAGCTTCCAACAAAGACTAAAAATACATTAATGACCCATACTTAGGGGTCATCATGGCCCTTGCCAGGCTAATTCAACAATGTGACCCTTCATTAGATTTTAACACTTGCTGGATCCAGGAATTAGACGGGATTCATGTCGAAGTAAGAGTAGCAAAATCGCAGCTAAGAAGCTTAAATCATATATATGACTGACACCAGTGCGTTTTTTCTGGTGGTACTCAAGGATATGCAGTACCGGCACCATTTTTCCTAGAAGGAAAGCACTGACTGACACCCTTCTTTGGAAATTAAACCCATGTCCAGACTAGTGGTTGCTCTGCTCTCTGTCAAGCCCTAATTGGAACACACAGGTTCTGAGCAGGGATATGTGTGTAAGAACATGATAATATTTACATTAGCTCTTATTTCAGCCTAGGTAAGGCAATACATTTATTTGGACCAACAAAAATGTCTCAAATATTGAGCAAGCTTTTGAGTTGGAGTAGCTCAGTGACAGAGTGAATGCTTCACATGGAAAAGGTTCCAGATTTAATCCCTGACATCTGAGGTAGGCAGGCCTCATCTGCATTATACATTTAAAATTATATCGCAAAACAGTGAATCCTGGGAGCTGTAATTAGTTAATGGTGGCACTGAGAGCTCTTAGCAGAACCTATTCCCTACACAAGGCTACAATTCCCAGAGATCCCTGAGAAGAGAAAGTGATGGTTAAACCACTATGGAAACTAGCTCTGAGAGGAAAAGAGGGTTTGATTGAAACTTCCTGTATATTTGCTTTGGCTTTGTATGTAGAACGACCTGCTGACCTGAGTGTGTCCTTTGTCTTTGTGGTTTTCTTGTTGACTTTGGGCATTTACAATAAAAAATCCTTGATACAAATTCAAATAAAGAGTTTCATTTAATCTGTCGTAGATAAATATGTTGTGTTTATTTAGCCACATGTTAAGTTTGTTTGCACAAGGAAAGCCCATTCAGTAGATAGCTTATATTTCTTATCAACTAGGTCTGGCATCATATACTCTAATACTGTATGTGCAGTGCCAATTATAAACATTACAGGCTTCCCCTGCAAGAACCACACCTTCCTGCAATCTAGATATGGCCTCAGTTGGTTTGCCCATATCCAGTTAGCAGTGCCAAGACTGCAGGACTGAGGTAAGGTAAAAATAAAATCCTTTACTTTGATACAACACCATTCAGTAGTCCCATTTACACATCAAACAGGAGAGGATCTTCCTCACAGGCGGGCCTGATCCACCCATGAAGCAAGGTGAGGCAACGACCTCAGGCAGCAGGATCCACTGGGGTAGCAGATCTACATGTCAAACCTTAGTCTCCCCTTATTCCCGATGTAGATCTCCCCTCCTCCATTCTTCCCTGGCAGGGAGGGGAGCACCATTTTGGGATGTGGCTTGGGTGCCAACATGGCTTGGACCAGTCCAAGAATAAGCATAAGGTGACTATATATTGCTTGATTGGTTTTACTTACAGCATTTTTACCACACTTTTTACCCACGAAAGCTCTCAGAGCGGCATACAAGGATCCATAGTTAATCTTGTTTCTGTTTTTTTTTTAGATTGTATAAGCTCCTTGGTGTAACCTGTTCTTTTAAAGGCATCATATACAGATGGCAGTATATAAGTAAGGTAAAGATAAAGGGACCCCTGACCATTAGGTCCAGTCGTAATTTGGGGTTGTGGCGCTCATCTCGCTTTATTGGCCGAGGGAGCCGGCGTACAGTTTCCGGGTCACGTGGCCAGCATGACTAAGCCGCTTCTGGCAAACCAGAGCAGTGCACGGAAACGCCATTTACCTTCCTGTCGGAGTGGTACCTATTTATCTACTTGCACTTCGTGCTTTCGAACTGCTAGGTTGGCAGGAGCAGGGACCAAGCAATGGGAGCTCACCCCGTTGCGGGGATTTGAACTCCCGACCTTCTGATCGGCAAGTCCTAGGCTCTGTGGTTTAACCCACAGCACCACCCATGTCCCTTTTAGTATATAAGTAATGGTGCCCTAAATAGCCTGGGCCTAGAAAGCCTTGAGGACCTGCCTGGCTCCTGAGGCTAACCATGGAGACTGCACTCTCAGTTCAGTTATGTGGGGCTGGGTGTGCAAGCATGAAAGAGAAGGGGTAGGATCCACCCCTTGAAAATGGAACTAATTCTGTTGCAGGTGAATTCAGAATTCATTCATGCGGTCCATTCTGCTTATGCACCAATAAGTTTGGGGGGAAACCCTGGTTCTTTTCAGTGGTTGTGCTGTGGCCTTGGAATGACTGTCCAACCAGTGGATTCTGGTCCATTAGGATGAATGAGGCCAAGGTCAATCTGCCCTCAGCCAGCCCCCACCTGCCTGCCTTATTCCTTGCATCCAGTCTAGGAGGTGACACTGGCTGCCAGTTTTCTCCTCCTTGCTCTCAGTATTGCCCTTGTACTTCCGGGAAGGTTAGGGGCAAAACTAGAATAGTTTGGCTCTAATTGTCATTGTCTCTGGCTTCAGTTACACTTGGGCTCCCGGCTTTTCTCGTATTTCATTATTGAGCTTGTGTATTTCTCTTCGTTATGTATGTGGCTCTGGGTGCAACTGCAGAAAAGGAGAATATAAATAAAACGTTAGGAATGGCTTTTATGACACTTGTGGGACATTCCAATACCATGCCAAATAATGGTTAGGGTGAAACACAACCGACCAATAAATTCTTCTGCGGCAGTGGCATGGAAATGAACAAAAGCTGAGTGAGACCACTATGAAGTTTTGTTTGGAGGGAAAAAATCAGCCAAACAAGACAGAAAGGCAGCGGGTTGGAATTTACTTCCTTTCAAGTCTCCAGACCTCACCCTTGCCAACATTGGCATACGTGACTATCAATGCTGCTCCAATCATTAACATGGCTTTCGCTGAAGGATTTACGGCAGGTATTTTCACACACCCAGTTGCAACATGGGTCAGATAAGCCTGAACTGTGCCTGGGAACAGATTGCGAGTCTCAGCAAGTTAAGGACCTGAGTTGGTTGAAGCATCAGGGGCAGATATTTAAAGGCAGCATCTTTTGCAAGCCAAACACTTGGGGCCAGGGTATATAAGGAACTGGACTGCCTTACCTATATCCCTGCCCTGCCCAGTACAGAAACTGGGCGTTTAGGTGTTGCTTCAGCTTTTTCGAATCAGTCATCAGTCAAAATTAAACAGGCACCTCATATAACGATATTAAGATGCCTGCTAAAGATTTTTGTTTGTTTAAGAGGGCTACCTAGAGGTGTGGTCCAGTCACTTATGGAACAATTATATATCAGATGAAATTGCTTTAATGTTTTTAGAGTTTGCCGAACTCATTTTGTCATTTTTAGAACTTGTGTTTTCATGGCTTATTCTGTTTTTAATCTTGTTTTTATCTTGTACACAGCTTTGATGGCTTTGTGCTATGAAGCGGTCTGTACATTTGTTAACAACAATTAATAATGTAACAACAACATCTGGAACTGGGTAAGCAGCCCTGTTGGGGCAACAATTGTTACAGAGAACGAAAAACAAGCGGTACAATATGGTCTGTGACCCTGGTTTGTGGGCAAATAATCGTTTCCTGGGTTCAGACAAAATTGCAAACTGTGGTTTGCAGCAAACAGACAGAATGTTCTTTGCACATAAGGGGGAGAGGGCTGATAGGAGGAAGCACATGAGCCCAAGGCTTGCCCTTGCTCATTATCTAAACCATTCCCCCACTCTCATAATACTAGAAGCTAGGGTCATCCAGTGAAGTTGAATGGTGAAAGAAACAGCGCACACAAAAGGAAGTACATAATGTAATTAATGGAACATGCTGCATCGAACAAGCTGTGATGGTCACTAGCCTTGATCACTTCAAAAGGGAATTATACATACTAAAGAGAGGATAAGACCTTGGGTCCCTATAATGTAGTTGGACTACAATTCCCACCATCTCCAGCCAGCTTTGACAATGGTCAGAGCTGATGAGTTTTGAAGTCCAGCAACATCCAGGGACCAAAACCTGAAGGATACTGGTATAGATCAAGAGTTCCCAAACTGTGGTCTGCAGATCACCAGTGGTCCACAAGCTAAATTCAAGTGACTGATAGCTGCCTCAGTATGCTCCAAAATACTTTTCTGTCTGACCCCTGGGCAAAACTGCTTTGAGGAGCTTTGTTCTCCACCCGCCTCCCCACCAATCATGAGGTTATATGAATTGTATGAAATAAATAAATGCTAATACTTTCTGCCAAATGTGCATTTAGACCCATCCTCAACAGGGTGACATTATTTTGGTAGGGCTCTTGAAGTAGCCACAATAATTTTTTTTTTATCATTGTTTGTGTTGTGAAGCAAATCCCTAAATCAGAACTTAATTATGGAATTAAAAGCTAACATCAGCTCTGCAGAGAAATTCTCAGATGGCCAATGGATGGCTTAGTTGCATTCAAAGGTGAAACATTGATTTAGAGGGTGCTTAAAACTTTAAGAAACCCCACCTGTTTCTAACCAAAATTAATTGGTTTCCAACCAAGTTTATGCAGTAGATAACAGGAACAGAGCTTAGAAGCTATATTTAACAGGCTTATTGGCTTGTAATTTTTTTGGATTTCTTTTTTTTAAAGACCACACTACACAACCTGCCTAGGGTTAAAATAGCTGTCGAATAATTAAAATGGGTAAATAATTTAGCAAGGGTGGGGGAAGCGTTATTTAGGAATGGTTATAAATAACTCAGGAATAGCATATCATCACTTTACACTTTCAGCAAGTATGTTGTTTTGAATGTTTATCAAATATATGTGTAACCAGCAAAAAGACACACGCTATTTGAACTTCATATGTGGTTACTCCATTCCATTAGTGTTCCATTACTATTCTTAATTGTGTAATTGTTTCTATTGATAATTGTTATATCCAATCTATGTTTATCCACTTCTTCCTCTGGCCCTGAGGATCTCAGAGTGCCAATATATTCTTACTCCAGAGCATATTTGGGGGGCGGGCAGTTGCTACAGGAGCTCAGACACTCTTTTCATCACTGGACTTGTCCTTTATCCTACTTTTCCTATAGTCCACCAATGTCCTGTTATAAGCTTGCCACTGGGACCTTTTTGTCCCAGCCTCTGACTCTAGTCTCTCTGTTTCTCATTTCCTTATTATTTGCTCTGTGAATTTCCCCCTTTCTCTTCTCACCTTTATTTCGAAGCTGCTTTAGAGGGCTCCACCCTTTTATCTCTGTTCCTCTAAATTGCTCCCTCTGCACACAGGGTAGAATGGGTCCTGACAATTCTTCTGCTTCTCTCCGGCCTCCTGATGTTCCCAGTTTTGTTAAGTTGTGGGTGACCATATCAGACGACACAGCGATTCTTCAGACAGCTCTTGTTTATTCACAGGCCAGAACGAAACTGAACTGAAGGGCTCAGCCAACCTGCTTATATAGAGCTCAGCTACAAGCAACAGTAACAACTTTCTGTAACTATCCAATCACTGAACGTCACTTTCAATTCCTTATTTGCAAATGTGGACCTGAGTGAAAACTATCTACAGTATCCCCCTGCTGGCCCAGGGTGAGAACTTCAGTACATAACAAGTTTCCTTCCTTCCTCCGCCCCCCCAATTCCTTATCAAACCCATGCCTCCCTCTAACCATTTCTGTTTTATCTGCATGCTGAGAAAAGGGGCTTACCTCTAGCCTGATTTATTGCTGGTGAGGCCTCCTGCAAAGACTTGCACAGACAGAGCAGCATCACAGCTACCACCTCACACTGATGTTTCTGATGTGAGATTCAAATAATTTTATGGGAAGTGACTCATAAATGCAAATAAATAATGCCCAGTCCTTATCGGGAAGAATCTCCCTTGCTTCTCACCCCCAAGTTTTTTTCTGAAAACCTTGGGATTCTCCCAAATCTGTTGACATCTTCCTCTTTTGATGGGTGGTACTGGTTTGGCTATGTAAGTATTAGCATTTGGAGAATGAGTTTATAAGTACATATGACTCAGAATATAGTTTTGTACACAACTTTCCCTTCCTTTGATCTGAGTTATAACAGATCTTCAGATGGCTCTAGCTCAAAGCTCTGTTAAACTGCCTTGGTAGTTCCTTATGAATCTTAAGTACAGAGATGGACTGTTAGGGTGAGTCATATTTCCAAGGTCTTCAAGACAGATTCTTCAGCTAGCTCTGAAACATAAGACAGAATGGGCTTTAAAACTTGGGCTCCTGCCCGGCATAGCATAGCTTTCCTAGGCAACAAAGCCAAAGGCCCAAAGACCTTGGGTCGAACAACTTATTTCCGTGTCTTCTCATTGGCCTGAACAGGATTGCTCCTATGTAAGCCAAAATGTTTTGTTCTCAGGATTTCTGACTTGAGTCTAGGAATGTTCTCACACTGGGGCATGTCGGCAGTATAGTCTGTGTAAACACCATATATTTAAAACACATTCTCACCCTCTGAAAAAAGAATCCCAAGAACTGTCGTTTGTTAAGGGTGATGGGAATTGTAGCTCTTGTGAGGGGTAAACTGCAGTCCCCAGGAGACTGAGTGCTTAAAAATGCTATGTCAGTGTGCTTCAAAATATCCTTTATTTCACATTTATTATTATCAAGTGTTCAGATCCACAGTTTGAGAAAGTAGACTGCAGAGAACAAAGTTTATCTGTGCCTTGTTAGAACAGTTTCTATGGCATTGTTTTCCCCCCACCCTTTTTAAAAATGTACCTTTTCAGCACTGAGCATCAAAACCTGTAGTACAGTCAAAGGCAGTTCACAAAGAGAATAATGTGACATGCCCACAGCAAGCAGCTACGTTTGTGTCATTAACTTTCTTACCTGGCACGATTCCAGAACATTTATTGACTCTAGATCGTTTTATTATGTTTATTATGTTTCACAGCCTTGTGAAAGGGAAGGAGGGGGGAACCCGAGGCAGATAAAGCAGCTCATTCTTTATTTACATTATCTACTTTTAACACAACTCTAAACATGTTTTATTGACTCAGGAGATTAGATCAGCCTGAGATTGCAAACATTAAAAAAAGGCAGCCCAGTCCAAAACAGTATTAAAAATGATTGGCAGTGTTTGGTATCTTCTGCTGCTTCTTAAAACCAGTCGAAAAATGCTGACCTATTACAAACAGAAGGCTTACTTTCCATTCACATTAAAATTTCAGATCAAAGGAAGGCTTTTAAAAGTCATACCTGCATTTCAAACCTGGATTTAATTTTATTTTTGGACTTGGTCCAGAACTGTTGCTTCTAAACATTTAAATGAAAAGTCGAATGTCTACTAATGAGGAAGCTACTTGATACATGGAAATATGGGAGTATTTTAATACTCCAGTGCCTTTCTAACAGTATAATTCTGATCCAATTATGTGTGCATGGAGTCTTTATTAAAAGAGCATAATAAATCCTAAGTATTTGGTTCAGTAGAGATAAGGTGAATCCTGCTCCCTTCTTTTAGCTGCTGATGGGTGGATTAACCTTTCTGAAAGGGCTCTGCAATACATAACCCTGCCTGGTTGATCAGAGAGATATGTGCGTACAGGACCCATTTCTGCATGTAGTTCCCAGCTGGACTGTATGTGTTTTAAGGTACATTTGTAAGTAATTCACATACCATAATTTTCGACGAGGCTTGCATATCGAGTCGCTACAGTTCCCAGTGTGATTTAACAACCCATCTCTTTTTCCAGTGGACTCTGGGAATTGTAGCCCTGTGTGGGGAAAGTGGTCTCCTAAGAACTCCCAGCACCTTTAACAAACTGCAGCCCCCAGAATTCTTTGGCATAAACCATGAGCGTTTAAAGGGGTATCATAGTGTTTAAAATGTATGGTGTGAGGGGGTTGTGCAGGGCCAATTTAGAAAAATTGAGTTCCCAGAAGGATCATTCCTGTACTTGTTGCATTTACAGCCCAGTTAATTTGGTTTTGGAACTTGCACCACCCCTAGGAAAAAGCCTATTTAAAAATATCCAACAATATTAAAATATTAATCTATACAAACCCATGCAACCTCCAAGTTAGATTTGGTAAGTGGCTTTCTGCGTTGTCCTTGCTATTGCAGTCTTGCTTCAGTGACCCTACCTCCCTGTCCATATATCCACATTCTTCTCCCCAACTTTTCATTTTCTGCATAAGGTCACACTGTAGGTCATTTGTGAATTGTGCCGATTAGGGTTGGATGGATCTGTCCTGTTTGATTTTCTTGTTTTTCCAATCTCTTGTTCTCCACATTTCTGCATCAGTTTATTTATTTATTTTGAAAGGGTCCTCTCAATTTCATGAATAAGGAAGCCCTAAATATATGGTTTAAAGTCCTTTACCACGGGAGTTTAGTTCCCTTTTATTAGAGAAATGAAAAAGACTCATTAAAATGTCTAATATATACTTGCTCTCTCCACCCCTTTTGAGCATGCAAGCATCTTCATAGCCACATATCTGTCAGTGATTTGCCCTGACTAATTTTAAATGACTTTAATTATGGAGACTGTGCAATTTCCCTAGGGACATTATTTCCATAACCGTATGCTTCCTCACAATGAGATTTTATCCCCCCTGCCCCAATCACAGATCTTTTTCTTCTTGCTGCTTCTTTTAATTGGAAATTCTTCTCTGTTCTTCCCTCAGCCTTTAGAAGACTGCCAGGGGCAAGTTATATTAATAGCTCCTGCGTGTTTCAGAATGGGTAACTCAATTGGCTCACTCCTCCCTTCGTACTGAACTGTCTCTCCTGCTTGACTGTGACTTGAACTGTACTTTCATCCCAAACCAAAAGAAAACAAAAGGAAAAACTTGGCTTCCCCCTGTAGTACACTGCATCTGTGTGGTTGCTACCCCTGGGAAGAAAAAACAATACACAAAGGACAACATTCAACACTGGTTGTGTACAGAGTTTTAATTTTTCTGGTTCACGGGAAGTTTAGGTGACAGGGGAAATGAAGGGTGAAGCCTGCAACAACTCTTGTTTTATCTTTGTCCTGAGCAACAAGGAAAGGAGGGGAGTAAGAAAATTTCAGTAGCTATGTTGCATGGTCTGTACAGCATGCCTAGCCGTACCACAATAAGTGGTGGCTACAAACACTATCTTCAGTTCTTGCACTCACAGGGGGTTGTACTGCATGACATTTAAAGTTTCTATTAACTCTACAATTTATTTTGATTATTATGTATTGGATTTCTTACCATATATCCAATTTCTTCACCATAATGTCCCAGGCCAGGTTACAAAAAGCTTGTTCCCTCTTCCACGTGACAGGCCTTGAGATATTCATATCATATCTACTCTCAGTCTCCACTTTTCCAAGCCAAACATATCCAGCTCCTTCAACTGTTCCTCATAAGGCTTGGTTTCCAGACCCTTGATCACCTTGGTTGCCCTCCTCTGCACACATTCCAGTTTGTCAAGATCCTTCCTAAATTGTGGTGCCCAGAATTGGACACAGTATTCCAGGTGTGATCTGACCAAGGCAGAATAAAGCAAGACTATTGTTTCCTTGAATTGAACACTATACTTCTGTTGATGCAGCCTAGAAAAGCATTAGCTTTTTTTTTTTTTTTGCTGCTGCATCACTGTTGACTCATGTTAAGCTTGGGGTCCATCAAGATCCCTAGATCTTTTTCACATGTACTGCTAGTAAGCCAGGTGTTCCCCATATTTTATTTGTGCATCTGGTTCGTCCTCCCTAAGTGCAGAACCTTACTTTTGTCCCTATTGAAGCACTTTAAATTATAAAAATGCTGTTCTGGCTGTTTGTGTGCCAGTATTGGCACTTTCCTTAATGTGTCTGGGCTAATACCTTTTTCTGATCCAGTTCTGTTAGCTCCACATGTTAAAGCTCTGCTAGTCAACACAATCCCATACTTTCAATCCTTTGTTATTGTATGTAGAGCTGTATTTATTAGTGGCTTTACCTAAGATAACCTTGTTCATGTAGAGAGTGATTGTTTTGATAATGGTTACTTGCCAGTGTTTCATAATTTTGCTAGGACAAAATTATGTGCATCTAACAGGATATTTCCTGACAGTTGGGGATCAAATGATTTGCAAATCAAACAAATATTTACATACTTGGGCATCTTTAATCACAAAGCTGTAAGACTGCTCACAAAGGCAGCAACGTTCATCATGTGGAAATGGCTACAGGATTTTTACCCTTCTGATTTTATTTGTGTATAAATTTAAAAGACCCCTGTCTACAGCATATTTGAGGCAACATACAAATACAGTGCTACCTCTGGATGCGAACGGGATCCATTCTGGAGCCCCGTTCACATCCTGAAACGAATGCAACCTGCGTCTGCGCGTTGTGATTTGCTGCGTCTGCGCATGACGTCATTTTGAGCATCTGCACATGCGCAAGCAGCAAAACCCGGAAGTAACGCATTCTGTTACTTCTGGGTCACCGCGGAGTGTAACCTGAAAACGCTCAACCTGAAGCGACTTCAACCCGAGGTATGACTGTAAACATACCCAACAGGAATAAAAATAAAATAACTAAGATGACAATAAAAAATGGGGGAAATCCATTGTGTCCAATCGACAGCAGAGTTCAGACAAGATGGTAACCCATGATTAATCAAAAACAAATGAAATTTTGCGCATACCATCATCTAGCCTTTCTGCAACTGCAGAGCCTCTTCAAACTTTTAAAGCACATCCAACTCACATATAAAGCACATGGCTTTCCCACAAAGAATGCTGGGAACTGTAGTTATGGAGCATGGGAATTGTTGCCTTGCAAGGAAGCTACACCCCCCATAATTTTTTGATGGAAAGTCATGTGCTTTCAACCCATGTCAGATGTGCTTTAAATAGTTCTTATTAAAATTTGAGAGTGCTACACTCCTAGAAGTAAAGGGGTATGTGTGTGTCCGCAGAGGGACACGGGTGGCGCTGTGGGTTAAACCATAGAGCCTAGGACTTGCCAATCAGAAGGTCAGCAGTTCGAATCCCTGTGACAGGGTTAGCTCCTGATGCTCGGTCCCTGCTCCTGTCAACCTAGCAGTTTGAAAGCATGTCAAAGTGCAAGTTGATTAATAGGTACCGCTCTGGCGGGAAGGTAAACGGCGTTTCCGTGCGCTGCTCTGGTTTGTCAGAAGCAGCTTAGTCGTGCTGGCCACATGACCCAGAAGCTGTACGCTGGCTTCCTCGGTCAATAAAGCGAGATGAGCACCGCAACCCCAGAGTCGGCCATGACTGGACCGAATGGTCAGGGGTTCCTTTACCTTTATGTGTGTGTCCCTTAACGAAACATACAAGCTTTGCTTCTTGACCCTCCACAGTTTTAGCCAAATCTTAGCACCCTGTAGCTTCCTGGACCAGCAGGTTAAGGAAGGCCAGCCCCCCCCCCTCGGCTCCAGCAATTCAAGCACCGAGTTCTTTCCAACTAGGGGTCCAACTTATCCACCAGTTACTTGGAAGCAATTCCCATTTAATCATGTGGGACTTAGCTCCTGAGTAAACATGCACAGGATCCGGGATGTATTGGTGTGCAGGTGGCTGCAGCCTTACAAAGCTTGACCCAAGACCCGCTCCCACGTGACCCTGAGCAACGGTCCTTCTCGCGCGCCGACCTTTACCGCCAGCCGTTACTCACACCATCCCTCCCCCAGTCGCGCGCACGCGTCTCCTCTTCTCCCAAATTCAGCTCAGGGAAAACCAGCGGCTTCACCCTCGCGGAAGGCGCATGCTCCCCCGCCTCCGTCCGCGCATGCCCGGTAGGGAAGCGGAGGCGCCAAGAACTCTGATAGGGTGGGGAGGGGGAGGGAAAAGGAAAATTCTAAACCGACGGCCGCCGCCATATTGCGGACCTGTCAGCGGCCACTTTCTGGCGCGTCTCCGGCAGCGAAGCTGTAGCAGCACCAGCGAGGCCCTGACGGAGAGGAGGGACGGAAGCGAGAGCGCGCACGGGTGCGCGCCCCTCAGCCACGCTCGGAGCGGCCCTGCAGCGCCTCCTGGCCGGCTGCGGAGGGGGCTGCGCGGGCGCCGTCGTGGTGGTGGTGGTGCGTGTGTAGCTCCCCGTCTCCCACCTCCGGCCCCGCCGCCGTTTGGGACCCAATCCTCTTTCCTGGAAGCAGAGAGGAAGAGGAAAGCGAAGAGTTCGCCGCCCCCGGGCTGCCTCAGCCTCCGCAGCCGCCAGGTGAGGGAGAAAAGCGGGCTACTTTTCGGCCGACCCCGGCGGTGCTGCTTTGCCAGGCCTCGCCCTTTCCCTCTCGCGCTCCCTCGCTTCATCTTCACGCCTCACACCTGGGGGCAGAAGCTGAGGGAAGACGCCCCCTCCACCCTCACCCCCCCCCCGGCGCGCACTAGCGGCTCCTGCGCAAGCTTAACGGGGATGTGGGCGGTGGGAATCGTAATTCCGAAATACTGTTTATGTATCTGAGCGAGAGAGAAACTCTTCGCTTCCCTTCGCCCCCCTCAGCAGCGATTATGCCTCGTCTCTCTCTCGCCCCCCCCCACCCGACGGCGATCCAACTCACTCCCCGCCCCCCCAAAAGGTATTTCCTTCCGCGGGGACTCCCGACTCCCTCTCCGCTTCTCCGCCTTTTTCTTCTCCACCCGCCCACTCCCCTCAGCCCCTGAGAAAGGAAGGAAGGAAGGGCTGGTGTGAGAGGGTCACTGGTCCGGGAAGGCGTAATTGTTACATATAAGTGTGTGTATATGTGTATGCATGTATATCTTTATTTACATATATATATATATATATGTATGTATGTATGCGTGTGCGCGCGCGCTTATATATGTATGTGTGTACACACACACACACACGGTTAGTGTCATATGCTGCAGGCTGCCTCTAATGTTTACATTTCCAACTAACGGCATTTTACAAGACCACCTTCGTTGCTGCTGATTTATTTCCTTTGTTAGCAAAAAAGGGAAAGGGCAGGCAGAGCGGGGGCTCTAACGGCAGCAGCCCGGAGCGTGTTTACTCTCTAGTAACCTCCTGCTCTCACAAACGCACGCAATCTCAATAGGGTTTACGATCACTGCCTGCTTAACGCTGCTTGAGGGTTGCAGCCGAATAACCTGAACTTAAGCACGTTTGCGTGGAATTAATTTCGGTTGGATATGCTTGGCTTAAGGGCAGGCTGTACAATCCGGAGCTGGGGAGAAAGTTGCAGCTCGGAAGTCAGTTGTGGAATCGGGCTGCAAGTCTTTTAACACCCCAGGCTTAATGCACATCTGCTTGTAAGGAAGCTCTGTTGGAATTATTTGCGGGGCTTATTTCCCAGTTAAGCTTGTTTAGCGAATTGCTGTACGAGAATAATCGAGTGTCGTCCTCGTCGCCGCCCCCCCCCCCCGACTGCATGTGTAGTAATAGTGGTCGGTATTATTGGGGAGAGAATAGAAGAGATGGGGCGGAAATGGGGATTGAACTTGAAGCTTCTTCTGTCATGCGGCTCAGCTACTTGTTGCGAACGGGGACGAGTACATTTTTAACGCGTTCCTCATGTCGGCAGCTGCCAAACTTCTACCCAACCCCTTTCCTGTCACCGTTTCAGGAGGAGGGGGAAAGGCCATAGAAGCATGCAGCAGCTGAAGGAAATGGTGACTGCTGGAGCGCTGCAGAGTCAGAAATGATCACCAGTCTCCATATGCCCCCCTTTGCCCCCCTTATTCTTCCTATTCTTCCCGGTACAGGTTGAAATTTGGATCCTAGAATCAGACCTCAGCTGCCAGTAGACCAAGAATCTGGAGAACTTGAAAGTATTCCAGATTGAAGTGGGGATGATGAAGCATTTTAAAAGTAATTAAATGCAAAAGTTCTGCAAAATCCAACACAAACAGAATTTTAGCCACAGTATAGCTCACCCATGCGCCAATCATGTGTTCATGATAAAAGCACCCATAATAGACAAATAAAGAATGACATCATATGAAACTGATCCAAAGACTGATGCTGTCCATTGTTGAAAACAAATCTACTTTTTCGTGTTTTTTGGCTTTTTAATGTATTGATTTACATAACGAGCACAATAATTGTATTGTGAGTTATTTGGGTCAGTGTTTTATGCAAATCTCCTTTATGGTGGTAAGCTTATGAACAAAGTAATTAAAGTTAAAAGTTAAGGCTTGAGAACTTTGGCTGTAATTCTCCACATAGGCTTCCTAAGTCCCTTTGACTTCAGCGGGATATATGCAGCCTCTATGCTTGCAGTGCTGCAGAGCTTTAAGACTGCAATTCCCTTATTAAGAACAAGTGAGCATCAGTACTGGATCAGATCATGGGCCAAAGTAGATGATATGGTGGCGCTGTGGGTTAAACCACAGAGCCTAGGACTTGCCGATCAGAAGGTCGGCGGTTCGAATCCCCGCGACGGGGTGAGCTCCCGTTGCTCGGTCCCTGCTCCTGCCAACCTAGCAGTCCGAAACCACGTCAAAGTGCAAGTAGATAAATAGGTACTGCTCTGGCGGGAAGGTAAACGGCATTTCCGTGCGCTGCTCTGGTTTGCCAGAAGCGGCTTAGTCATGCTGGCCACATGACCCGGAAGCTGTACGCCAGCTCCCTCGGCAATAAAGCGAGATGAGCGCTGCAACCCCAGAGTCAGTCCCTTTACCTTTACTATATAGTGTGCCTGCTTTTTGTTATTTAAATAGCAGTTGGGAGGAGTGTAAGGATTGGTAAGTAAGCATGGAGTTTAAACCCTTTCCCCCTGTATCATGCCCCCCGATCAGCCCCTTCAACTGCTGTTGATACTTACATTGATTTATTTGTGAAGACCCCAGTTCAGATCCCATTAGTATTTATGTGGTTAGTGTATTTTGCCCCAGTGCACCTCACTTTACAAATTGTTTTACTATTTTGTTGCCCATTCACCCAGCTTGAAGAGATTGTTTTGGAGTTCCTCACTGACTGCTTGGTCTTCACTGTCCTGAGTTATTTTTTTTTTCACCTATAAATCTCTGTTTTCAAATAGCTTATGAATGTGTTAAATAGCACCAGTTCCAGTGCTTCTTGGGAGACCCCAGTGCTTGCTTCACTCCGTTGTCTGATTTTTCCTGCCTTTGCTCTGAAGTTTACAAAGGCATCTTTGGTGAGGAACTTCAAAGCTTTGTAGAAGTCTTATAGTCATGTTTACAAGACTACTCCTGGTCCCATGTTATTTATTATACTTCTTGCCTGCCCTTCACTGTGAGGTCCCAGGGCAAGTTACAGCAATTTAACAACAGGATATTAAAAACAGCTAAAACAAATAACAGAAGAACAGTAAAAAGAATAAGGGTGGATCTTAAAATAGATATATTGGATTTCAAAGGCCCAGGTAGACATACTAAAAGTATTCTAAAAGTCTGTCAGGCAGTGATTTTGTTTGCAGAAAGCTGATCCTTGTCAGTGTAATAAAGGTTTCTTCAGGGCACTTTGCATGTGGTGCCTCTGTAGAAGGTCTTAACAATTTTTGTTCTACGTACCGTATTTACTCAAATCTAATGCTCACCCTTTTTTGGTCAAATTATGTTGCAAAAGTTAAGGTGTGCATTAGATTTGATGGCACATTTACTTTTGCCAGCAAATATGGTACTTTTTTGGGTTTCAAAGTTCAGAGAATTGAGGTAAAATTGGGAATATAAAATATTTTTCTTATTCTGGTTAAGAAAACATAGTTTGTAGGAGTCCAGAGTAAGGAATTGAAGAAAATGAGCTACCAGCACTAATTTGCTGAGTAGCCAAGTGATGCAATGCTTAACCTTCTTCATTCATAAACAGAACCTGGTTTGTAATTTTATATTATGTAACAGATTTTAATGAGCCTTTTGTGAAGTACTTTATCAATCTGAAGCTGGTTTGGAGAACCTTGTTCAACCTGAGAGCTGCTTTGAGGGGGACATGGGGGGGGGAGGGTGAGAGCTGCATTCCTGTGGTAGGTTTAGCCAGAGAGGTGAAAGTGGATGCAGCAATGGATGTGAGTCTGACCTTTGTACAGAGACCATCCTACAGGCAGGCATTGGCTAGAGGTTTATACACACCCACCCTTATGACAAAAAGGGAAAAAAATTGCGGGCAAGGGTTCCCTTCCTGTGTACCTGGCCATTCTGAAGTTTGATTTTGTGTATCTGATTGCATATTTGGTATGAAGGCAGGAGTGTAAGTAGAATAAATACTGAAATAGAGAAGAAAACCATTTTGGTCTAGTTCTTGGTTCTGATCCTGCCCATTTGTGACAGTGAGTGAGATTTACTGGATGTGTGTTATCTGCTTTTTGAACCCAAGTCTGTAGCATGAGACAGAGCATCTTTCTAGTCCTTCCTGGAGACAAGTAAGCAAAGTTTGCTGATGATACCAAGTTGTTTGGGGTAGTTGCAATCCTCCAAATACCACAAATTGCAAAAAGAACCAAATAAATTCTCTACGTAAAGTTGTTCTCAAGTTTTTAAAATACAGGTTTTGGCAAACTACCCCCTCTGATTGAGTAAAAGAGGTTTGGTTTTTTTTCTTTTGCTAGAATGAAACTGCAGTCACATCTATTCTAGACTGCTTTTCCAGTGCATCTTCAGCTAGATCCCCTATCTTGTGTTTTTTTTAAAAAGCACCTATAATAATAATAATAATTTTATTATTTTTACCCCGCCCATTTGGCTGGGTTTCCCCAACCACATTGGGTGGCTCCTAACAGAATATTAAAAACACGATAAAACATAGACATATTGTGGTGACCATAACAAAAACATTTGGTTCCTAGCTTTTATATCTCAGTTTCTAACATTGATTGTCGTTTTTATGGCAGGCAGTGCAACATCCATTTTTTAATGTTGTGCTTATTGTAGGTATGTGTTTGTTTTTTGCTTAAGATATTGTATGTCGCTTTGAGTTGCCATGACAAAAAAGTGATTAATAACTTTAATAAATAATACTAAAACAATTTATTAGCTTTCCCATGCTCATGAATATGTAAGATAAAAACAGATTCAACAGACACAAAAAGGTTATCTTTTATAAATAATAGGCTTTTGGCAAACATTATGTGGAAATGTCTATTAAAAATAGCATTTTCTGTAGTTTGTAAAATGTCAGCTGATGAAGAGTTCAAGGGCAGAGGAATGGATTTTCTGCCTTGATTATAAGATGCTGCAGTCTTACATCCACAATGTGTAGTGGATTGAATACATATAATGTAGGTCAATTTTCCCCCAACCTGGTGCCCTCCTGATGTGTTGGTCTACAGTGACCATCAGCACCCCCCGTCAGCATGGCCATTGGGTAGGAATAATGGGAGTTGTAGATCAAAGCATCTTGCAGACATTAGGTTGTGGAAGGCTATGGTAGAGCAAGGCACATTGTACAAGCTGGATATAGACACTTGAATATGATGATGCACTAACTCAGCAGTTTATTCCCATCACTTGTAATACAGCTAAGACTGGGGTTGGGATGGGTGTGGTGGGGGAATCTGCTTCTATAGCCTGTCTGGCATAGTGACTGTCAAAGTGTTTGGTACTGGATTTGTTTAGTTTTTATTAACATTAATTTGGAAGCTCCCTGTGTGATTTTCAAAACTGAAAGATGGCAAATAAATGTTGTAAACAAATGCTATTATACTTAAGTAATAAGTAGATAGTGTAGATTTCCTGAAATACCATAGAATTCTTCCAGCAGCCTTTGTGTTTAATCTTTACGTGGATCTGTCCAGCTTCAAACAAAGAAATAATAATGTTTTTTGTTTTGGTGCTCACAAGCAAAATGTTAGGATGTGCCAACTGTAAAGACTAGAATTTTCTCTTTGTACATGTCTAATTAAGCACAGTCTTCTGAAATTTTCATGCACCAATTATTTCTGCTCCTTCCATGTAAAATCGATGTAGCTATGCAAAGCAGATGTATATGTATATACTTAACAGCATATTGAACATTTATAGTATTAATGGGCCAGTTATCTTATTAGTGAAATGTGAACTGCATGTAGTTATAAATAATTACTTTATTTCAACAGAAAAGTACAAAGATTGTGGTACAGCAGATGATTTAACTGAACCAGAAACACAGAAAAGGGGGGAAAATGCCGAAACCAGTAAGTAATCTATTTCTTGTACTTGATTGGCTTTCAGCTCATTGTGTTGTCTGCTACTTGTAGCAGATGTTTTTGTAAGGTAATAATCAGTGGTATTTTTCTAGAAAAAGAGGTGTTGGAACTCACAATGAACGCCGCCCTTGTTCTATTATACAGTGGTACCTCTGGTTGCAAACGGGATTCATTCCGGAGGTCCGTTCATAATGTGAAAAGCCCGCAGCCTGAAGTGCCGTATCTGCGCAGGTGCATGGCTTGATTTGGTGCTTGCGCGAAGCGCAATTTAGCGCTACTGCACATGCGCGAGTGGCGAAACCCGGAAGTAACCCTTTCTGGTACTTCCGGGTCGCCGCAGGACGCAACCTGAAAAAACGTATTATGAAGCAAACGTAACATGAGGTATGACTGTAATGGCAATGGCACCCACCTGAGAAGTGCCAGAGCTGAGCTCCAGTTCCAGGTGAAAAAAAGCCCTGCTAATAATTACTATTAATTACTGCTGCTGCTATCTTTTCTCTCAGTTGATATATAGAAACATCATAGGAGACTTCCAAAGGGAGGCAGTAATCATAGAATTGTAGAATTGGAAGGTACCCTGAAGGTATCCAGTCCAACCTGTTACAATGCAGGAATCTCAGCTAGATCATACATGACAGATGGCTGCCCAACCTCCGCTTAAAAAGCTCCATGGAAGGAGAGTCCACTACCTCTTGTGGGAATCTGTTCCATGGTCGAACAGCTCTTACTGTCAGAAAGTTCTTCCTGATGTTTAGTCGGAATCTCCTTTCTTTTGAAACTTGAATCCATTGGTTCAGGTCCTAGCTTCTGCAGCAGGAGAAAACTAGCTTGCTCCATCTTCCATGTGACAACCCTATAGATATACGAGAAGAGCTATCATAGCTCCTCTCAGTCTCCTCTTTACCATGCTAAACATGCAGTCACAAACCAGATGACTATGGGAAGCCTGCGAGAAGACACTGAACTTAATGATGCATGGATCTGTGTATGTTTCGTTTGGTTTTCTAAATGATTAGCTCTTGGTCAAGATTTGTATATGTGTGAGAGGGAAAATTATTATTTCTTGAGACACAATTTTCCGTAGCTATGGGGTGGTGGTCAATTAAATCTTACTTAGGTCCATTAATTTCAATAGGTATACAGTACTAAGTAAGTCACACTCATTTACTTTAATATGTCTGCCCCGTGTAAAACTTATTTTAATACCACACTATGTAATCTGATGAAAAACTACTTGGTATTTTGCAACTACTTCCTATGAGTGCTGCTTCTAGGCATTGTTTCTGATACCTATTTTTTGTTTCTACGTTTGCTTACGTGCAAGTCTGGTTTGATAATATTCTTCCATGCCTATGGCCTTGAATAACCCATTCTGACTGCAGCTTCATTTTCTATATATTTAAAAGGCAGTTGAACAATATTATTGTCTGGGTGCCATAAAGGCACTTTTGTTCTAATCTGTAGCTATAAAGGAGTCTTGCTGTTGTGTAGAGTACAGTCTTGTTTTGTTTTCCTTATTTAAGTGTATATCCGAATATAGTGAGCTAGTTTAGAAAGACTTGTATTCAACCCGATGAACTGTAGTGATGATGCATGGATCTCTGATGAAGATTGCTGCAGAAAATGCGTAGCTTAGAGAGTAACACTAGTAGCACTGCCAGAGTGCAATGAAGTGTGCAGCTTTCATGAGTATGGTGGGTTGTAACAGCTGCACATTTGATAATCTTTTACAGTTTGTGTGTGCCTGCATAAGATACAATCTTTTCCTGATCTGCTTTCCTACCTAGCATCATTTAGACCTGGGGTGGGGAATCTCTTTTGGCCTGAGCGCTGTATTCCCTTGTGGTCAACCATTCAGGGAGGGGGCCCATGCCAGTGGTAGGTGGGACAAGAAGCAAGAGCAGGTTAACTTTGTACTGTAGGCAGTGGTGATTGGTAACGTTCTGACTTGGTAGGGCTGTAATTTTTAACCTTGCTGTTTTCATCACAATGATTTTCAGACAAGAGTAACTCCATGCCTCTTGTTTAAAAATTAAGCCATACCACATAACATCAGTTTTTTGATTCATGTATTGATTACACCTACACATCCATTGTAAAAAACAATAACACCTAAACACACAAATATGTTAAAAATGTGAGGAGCACTTGCTTTCAGTTGCATTCCTCCCAGACAATTTAAGTTTTTATAATCTAAAACAATTTTTCTCTAGATTAAAATAACACCTCTAAATTAAAAGATCAAAGTATTAAATTAATAGACAAAAATGATGTGTTTCATTTGAGCCAGTGTACATAAGAATGTACCCTGTAATGCATGGTTCAGTTTCGAAAATGTGAAGTAACTCTGTTCAAGTGCTGAGTACATCACACCAGAATAATCATAATCAGCCTCTTATATCTGACATTAGGGAGAATATCTTCCAGGTTTAGGAAATGAAGTGAAGTCATTGTGATATCCAGAGAGGCATAGAGCCCAAATTTCATTTTAGAAATACAGTGGTACCTCGGGTTACATACGCTTTAGGTTACATATGTTTCTGGTTACAGACTCTGCTAACCCAGAAATAGTACCTCGGGTTAAGAACTTTGCTTCAGGATGAGAACAGAAATCGTGCTCCGGCGGCGCGGCAGCAGCAGGAGTCCCCATTAGCTAAAGTGGTGCTTCAGGTTAAGGACAGTTTCAGGTTAAGAATGGATCTCCGGAACGAATTAAGTACTTAACTCGAGGTACCACTGTACACTGACAAACCCACAAAAAGCAAGCAAGAAATAATAGCGGCATTTTCTTTCATTCTACATTCAAACACATTTGTAATTATTGACAAATAATGTTTCTATTGCTATTAAAGGAGTATCAGGATTGAGGCTTGAAGGGCTCAATCTTACCTGTCACTGTAAGTTAAATAAGTACTTCTGCATTTTCCAAAGGCTTGTACTATTCAGTATATAACTTTTCTGTACTAATTCAAAGCAGAATGTTCAGAATCTAAATGTCCTATCACGTGTCTGCATTTTGTGTTTTGTCTCGTATGTTAATCATTTCCGTTTGAGTCTCAACCATACACAAAAAGAATATTTAAAGTGCACAGTGCCTTCTGGAATGCATGCATTTAAAATGAGTGTGCAGCTTTCATGAGTGCAAGCTTTCAGCTTGCATGCTCCTTAAATACATGCTAATTAAGTCAAACAACCCAGTTATTAAAATTAAAAATCCTTTTCAGCTTTAGCAGTGCATCTGTTTCCAAATACTATGTTACTTGTGCACATCAGATAAGTGTTTATATCAAAAAGCATTGCAATTAATGTAAGCCAACAATTAAATGCATCAGTTAATCTAGGATTTCTTATGAATCCTAAAGGCAAAATATCACTCTGTGATAAAATGAATTGTACTAGAAAGTAATAGTGCCAAATATGAAAGATTATTTCGTGTTACAAATATTAGCATACAAGTGTTCAAGGGAGAATCATTGGCCTGATTAACACATAACTATGGTTTATTAAGCAATGCGTAAGAGTTATGTCTAGCAGTTTAACTATGGTTTATTAACTATGGTTAAAGGACACTCATTAATCAAGGTTTGTAATTGTGTTATAAACCTTAGTTAAATTTAACAGTAACTTATTGTTATGTTTGAATACATCCCACCTCTTAACTATGGTTAAGGAGTCATCCGCATTCCAAAGCTACAGAGCCGCAAGTGAAGGGTGACAAAGAATTCAAACCACTCTCAAGGTTCAGCTGCTCTTGTTGTTGCTTTTAACTTTTCTGTGACACAATGAACCATGGTTTAAGTGATCATCTGTCAGATACCTCAGCTTTAACTATGGTTCCTGCAGTTGTCAATCTTTTTGTATCAGTGGGCACATTTTGAATTTTGAGAGCATGCTGTTGGCACTAGTCACAGAATTACTGGCCCAGAGGCATGTGAGAACACAAAATAGCTGTCATGGTGGGCATGACATAAAACAAAATTAGAGTGTATAGTTATTGTGGAGTTTTCTGCTTAACTATTTCATGGCAGAAAGGGCTTTCCTTTTTGAATTTCTTACTTCACTGACAGAAGGAAGCAGCCAGCCTACCTCATTTAATATAAATTACTTATAAGGATATGTGCACATTCTGTTTTGTAACCTTCTTTATAGGAGGGCTAGATGATTCTTCTTCTTCTTCTTCTTCTTCTTCTTCTTCTTCTTCTTCTAAAATGAAAGTGTCTGGGGTCCCCCTACCCAGGGTTGCCAAGGGAGATCAACACAAGCCATGGTGCTTGTGGGTACTGCATTGGTGACCCTTGGTAATAATAATAATAATAATAATAATAATAATAATAATAATAATTTATTATTTATACCCCGCCCATCTGGCTGGGCCTCCCCAGCCACTCTGGGTGGCTTCCATAGAAACCAAAAATACACTAAAATATCACACGTTAAAAACTTTCCTGAACAGGGCTGCCTTAAGATGTCTTCTGAATGTCAGGTAGTTGTTTATCGCTTTGACATCTGCTGGAAGGGCGTTCCACAGGGCGGGCGCCACTACCGAGAAGGCCCTCTGCCTGGTTCCCTGTAGCTTTGATTCTGCAATGAGGGAACCGCCAGAAGGCCCTCGGCGCTGGACCTCAGCGTCCGGGCAGAACGATGGGGGTGGAGACGCTCCTTCAGGTATACTGGACCGAGGCCGTTTAGGGCTTTAAAGGTCAGCACCAACACTTTGAATTGTGCTCGGAAACGTACTGGGAGCCAATGTAGGTCTTTCAAGACCGGTGTTATATGGTCTCGGCGGCCGCCCCAGTCACCAGTCTAGCTGCCGCATTCTGGATTAGTTGTAGTTTCCGAGTCACCTTCAAAGGTAGCCCCACGTAGAGCGCATTGCAGTAGTCCAAGCAGGAGATAACCAGAGCATGCACCACTCTGGCGAGACAGTCCGCAGGCAGATAGGGTCTCAGCCTACGTACCAGATGGAGCTGGTAAACAGCTGCCCTGGACACAGATTTGACCTGTGCCTCCATGGACAGCTGTGAGTCCAAAATGACTCCCAGGCTGCGCACCTGGTCCTTCAGGGGCACAGTTACCCCATTCAGGACCAGGGAATCCTCCACACCTGCCCGCCTCCTGTCCCCCAAAAACAGTACTTCTGTCTTGTCAGGATTCAACCTCAATCTGTTAGCCGCCATCCATCCTCCAACCGCCTCCAGACACTCACACAGGACCTTCACCGCCTTCACTGGTTCTGATTTAAAAGAGAGGTAGAGCTGGGTATCATCCGCATACTGATGAACGCCCAGCCCAAACCTCCTGATGATCTCTCCCAGCGGCTGCATGTAAATGTTGAAAAGCATGGGGAGAGGACAGAACCCTGAGGCACCCCACAAGTGAGAGCCCAGGGGTCTGAACACTCATCCCCCCCCCACCACTTTCTGAACACGGCCCAGGAGGAAGGAGCGGAACCACTGTATGACAGTGCCCCCAGCTCCTAGCCCCTCAAGACGGTCCAGAAGGATGTTATGGTCGATGGTATCAAACGCCGCTGAGAGATCCAGCAGAACTAGGAAACAGCTCTCACCTTTGTCCCTAGCCCGCCGGAGATCATCAACCAGTGCGACCAAGGCAGTTTCAGTCCCATGATGAGGCCTGAATCCCGACTGGAAGGGATCCAAATGGTCCGCTTCTTCCAGGCGTGCCTGGAGTTGTTCAGCAACCGCTCGCTCAATCACCTTGCCCAAGAATGGAAGATTTGAGACTGGGCGATAGTTGGCCATCGTGGCCGCATCTAAAGATGGTGGTTTAAGAAGCGGTTTAATAACCGCCTCTTTCAGCGGGTCTGGGAAGGCTCCCTCACGGAGGGAAGCATTCACCACCCCACGAAGCCCATCGCTCAGTCCTTCCCGGCTAGCTTTTATAAGCCAGGATGGGCAAGGATCCAGGAGACAGGTGGTTGGTTTCACTCGTCCAAGCAGCCTGTCCACATCCTCGGAGGTAACAGATTGGAATTGATCCCACTCAACTTGACTAGACAAAACTCTAGCACTCTCCCGCCCCGGCCCTGCTCCCACGGTGGAGTCTACTTCTTCCCGAATCTGAGCGATTTTATCTGCAAAAACTTTGCAAAATCATTGCAGGAGAACATGTGGCCCGTACTGGGCCCCGATGTTGCAGGTGGTTCCGCTAAATTGTGAACCACCTGAAAAAGTCTCCTGCTACTGTTTTCTGCAGATGCAATAGAGGCGGTGAAGAAATTCTTCTTCGCCGTCGCTATCGCCACTTGGTAGGCTCGACGTTGAGCTCTAACCTGTGTCCGGTCAGATTCGGAATGAGTTATCCGCCACCGGCGCTCTAGCCGTCTCAACGATTGTTTCATTGCCCTCAGATCCGTGGAAAACCACGGGGCTGTCCGGGCTCCATGCAATCGGAGAGGGCGCTTCGGAGCCAAACAGTCAATAGCCCTGGTTAACTCCACATTCCAGCGGGCCACCAGGGAATCAGCTGAAAGGCCATCAACATGGGATAAAGCATCCCCTACCACTCTCTGGAAACCATTTGGATCCATTAAGTGGCGGGGGCGGACCATCTGAATTGGTCCCACCTCCCTGCAGAGGGGATGGGTCGCAGAGAAGTCCAGTTGCACCAGGAAGTGATCTGACCATGGCACTTCTTTCGTTTCGCTTTTACTTAGTGTCAGATCACCAACATCCATAGAGGTAAACACCAGGTCCAAGGCATGTCCGCGGCTATGGGTTGGGCCAGACTTATTCAGGGACAGCCCCATGGAGGCCATGCTTTCCACGAAGTCCCGAGCGGCCCCTTGTAAGGTTGTGTCGGCATGGATGTTAAAATCCAATTGGACGACCAAACTAGGTGTCTCCAGGAGAACATCCACCACGACCTGAAGCAGCTTGGGCAGGGAATCCTTGGTGCAGCGGGGAGGTCGGTACACCAAAAGGAATCCTGTGCTGCCCCTATTGCCCAACTTCCAGAACATGCACTCGGAAAACTGGGTCTTCCCAATAGGACGCCTGGTGCAAACTAATGACTTCCTAAAAATAACTGCAACCCTCCCTCCCCGCCCACATGACCTGGGTTGCTGTGTGTAAGAGAAACCTGGTGGACAAGTAGCGGCAAGGACAGGCCCATCTGCTTCATCCAACCAAGTCTCTGTTACACATGCCAGGTCAAGTCCTCCATCCATGATCAAGTCATGGATGGCAGTGGTCTTGTGAATCATTGACCTGGCATTGCACAGCAGCACCTTCAGGTCATGTGGGTATCCCTTGCTGATTCTAGTATCCACCCGGTTAGGACCAGACCCGGAGGCAGGAATAGTCCTCAGACAACGACTAAACCTGCCTCCTCTGTAATAACATGGTCTAGTCTTGGCGTAACTCCTCCTCCTACCCGTGATCACTGAGATCGGTTGTCCCAGTGCATCCCCGCCCCCCCGTGGAACATGCCCCAGCCATTTTGTGGGCTGGGGCCCACTCCCCGGCAGCCCTGACCCCTCCCCTTAAGAACAAAATAACACCTTAAACAAACAAACAAACAAAACCAATAAAACAATACAAACACAGGGAGTCCTCCTGAACAACAGAGCAAAGCAGTCCTTGTGAGGCTTCAGGCCCCGTCCTGGGCCAGGTGGTAAGTGGCAGGAAGGAGCAGGGCCCTCAGGCACTCACGCAGGGGAGTCCTCCTGAGCAGCAGGCAGCAAGCAGCAAGCAGTCCTTTTGGTGTATATTAACTACAGGCGGTGACTATTTTGATCCAGTTGACACACGATCTCTGACACGCGGGTCCTTTTGGACACGGAAGAGGGCAGAACGGGGGTGTAATGGGGCATAACACAGGCGGGGCTCAGTGGGGGGAGTGAAGTGCTAAGTGAGATCCACAGCCATTTGCACGGAGGCAGTTGCTCAATTTTAGTAGGTTGCAGGTGCAGTGTACTGGGCCCAGAAAATCCTGTTGACACCTCATAGCTGTAAGCCCTGACTGCCAGTTTTATTTCCACCCCCTCTGAACATTTGCCTAAATTTGAATCTATATATGTATATTAGCTTAGCACATGAAAAGTTTTTGTCATAGGTCTATGCTCCAAAAGTGTTAGAAACAGCAATGCTTCTGTAAAGAGTTCAGAATGGGAGAGCACAGTAGGGCTTTTCTGTGCCCTACCACTGACTTTTGAATGCAGCCTATGGCCTTTGATACATACAGCAAGAGGGTTGTAGTTAAAACCATGAAGGCTCTGAGGTATGCACAATAAAAGGTGTCTTTGGGTCCTGGTAGCAATACTGCTGGGTATTATAAGGTCAGCAAGAAACTCCTATGCTCCTGTCAGAATAGAACAAAATATTTATATCCTCATGACTGTTGTGAGACGTTCTGTTGGGAAAGACAGTCAGCTTACAAAGCTTATGCTAGTCTGCCAAATTAAGTATGACATTTCTGTGGTTGTCACTGAAGGAAACCTATTCCAATAACAACAACTGAGAACCATATTGGAGGCTGGGCTTAAAAACCCCCAACATGTTGCCATAGTTCAAAGAGACAATGTACGTACAGTGCATACATGCACCCTGCTAGATCATTAGAGACAAAGGCATCTAATTTACAATGGGGGCAGAACCTTGATGCTCTTTGTACAACACAAATGATCTGTTTAAGGCAAGCTTCTTTGACTTCTGCTCCTAGAAAGCAAGTCATCATTCTCAGCTAACTCTGAGGCAAGCTAATCCTGGAGTGCAGCAAACTTGGACTGTGCCACTTCTCTCTAGTCATTTACCATACCATTATCCTTACTATTTTATCTCATTCACTGAATTGCCATTTTAACTAAAATGCATGGCTTGTGTATTTGCCTGTTTTTCAAGGCGTAGAATGTCCTTTTTTAAAGATATCTTTAAAATCTAAGCATCTTTTTCCAGATACTTTCTTGGGCTGCCACCTATCTCTTCAGAGATTAAAATTGGCTGTAAATTAATCCCTCAGAACGCAAAACAGAGATATTATTCACAATTTTTAAACTCTTCCAAGCATAAGATTTTGTGTTCAATGCTTGTTGGAGTACCAGGGTTAATATCCAAATGATATTATGATACAGCAATCTAGCTTATTGTCTACAATGAAAGCTTCTTTCAGGCTTAATTTTAGTGGTGGGAGGGGTGAGCAACCTGCAGGTAGCAAGGAAGCTTTCAATGGGTACATTTGTGCCTACAAGAGCTGAGTTAGTGACCTGTGCCACAGAGGATGTTCATTGCAAATCTGAAAGAGTTGGGGCTATCCTTTAGAATGAGTTTGGATAGATCAAATAGATACAGTAAGTTTCCTGGTGACAATGGAATTTAATTGTTGCATATCAGGTTGCAATTTTTAACTCCTGGCAAAAGTCACAAAACTCTGTGTTGTTTTTAAAAAACTTTTCATTCTTACCAGTTCTTAGTTTGGTTGTTTAACTTTTTGTTTAGTTACATGGAATGTGTAAGATGTTGTGTCAGTTTATAATTTGGCACGGCAATGCTGATCAAAGCATGAAAATCTATTTAGACTTAATACCTTCTTGTTCTATGCAGATTAATGTAAGAGTCACCACAATGGATGCAGAGCTGGAGTTTGCCATCCAGCCCAACACAACAGGAAAACAGCTTTTTGATCAGGTAATCGTCTTACTATGGGCTGATTCAGACATGACATAGCAAACTGACTTACGCTTAGAATGAAGAGGTAAAAACCTCTGACCTACGTCATACATACAGCTTCATGATTCCAAGCAGCCATTGTTCCACTTAAACCAGCTTGCCTGTTCCATCATGTACAGCATCAGTGTACTAGCACTTATTGTACAGCTAGTCATGGATCCCTGGCTGATAATGCTGCACCTGTAGGTACTAGTGTCCTGGTTTAGACATGGCAGGCTTTTACAATGGGAAGTTGGGGGTCACATTTTAACCAGCACTTGCTGTTGCTATCTGCAACAAAATGACTTACTGCTGTGGTCATTCTTGCCCTTTAAGAACCATACTGCTGTGAAGTTGGCCAGCCATTTGCTTATTTAGCTGTGGCAGAGCTTACTTCCACTCTTTCCCACCCTGTACTTGAGATTCCCTTAGTCTTAGCTTAGTCTCATATAGACTTGGGCTTTTTCCCTTGAAGTAAGAGATGGTAAGTCCAGGGAATCAGGGTGTCTAGCTTTCCCTGATAATACAATGAAGGGTTAATCATGAAACTTTATGTTACTAGTATTGATGTCATTCTTCTTTTTTAAGGTTGTAAAAACAGTTGGCCTTCGGGAAGTTTGGTTTTTTGGACTACAGTATGTAGACAGCAAAGGATACTCAACTTGGTTGAAGTTGAACAAAAAGGTAATGTATAATTTGTTTTATTTAAAATAATTCAATTTGCAATGAAGGAATGGTAGGTGGTGTTTAAAAAGTATTCTAGTTTAGATTTCACTTTCATTTAGAATAAAGATGCATGTACGCCCTGTGATGTTAGTTGACCAATTTGACATCTTCAGTTTAGATTTATTTTTTCTATTTTTTCTTCAGTAGAATAAGGATTTTTAGTGATTGAACTGATGTACTCTGTGAAGGCCATTTTATAAGTCAAGCTAATCATATCAAGATTAGCTTGACTTGTAAAATGGCCTTCACAGAGTACATCAGTTCAATCACTAAAAATTCTTATTCTACTGAAGAAAAAATTTAAAGTCAGATTCCCATTTTCTTTTCTTTCTTTTTATGGTGGCCAACTATAAACTATAAAGAAGCCCTGCTCTGAACGATTACATTTCTAAACTGATTGATCCAATTTCTTCTGTTTATATGGAGAATTTAGTTCATACTTGAAATCTTAAGAGGTTTCTGGATTTGTTTCCCATAGGGTGGTATTAATATTTGTGAAGATGCACAACAGGGAATCAGTGTTAGAAACTGAGATATGAAAGCTTAGAGCTAAATGGCGCCTGAAACCTAGGTTATGGACACAACAACGGAATGTCTAGGCGCACTTTTTATAACAAGAATACAAAGCTGAAAATGAATGAACTGCAGCTAAAATATTACATTCATTTTTCACATGGTCTAGTCCTTCCTCTGCCCACCCCGCTAATATTCTTCAGAGGGTCTCTTCTCCAGTCTTCAGAGAGTAGCTGGAAGTGGGGAGGCAGAAAAAGATCCTTCTTTCCTTCTACTCTGCAGTTTTAATTTGAAATCTTAGGTGCAGTACTGCGCCCACAGCTCAGAAACAGCTTGTGCTAATGAAATTCCCTGTCACAAAATGTGCCTAGAACAATGGGAGTTTCGAACACTGCATGGAATACATTGGAAGTGGATAAGTTATAGAACCCGCTTTCTTTGTCTCCTGTAGAAATGTTTTCATTCAGATCTTAATCTTGCTGAGACTGACCCTGGGAATTTATCAGAGAGGGTCTTACATTGGTGCAGCTTCACATCTGCCTGGTGTGTCTCTCTGCAATCTGGAAGAGCTATGTTCTAATAAGTGTGGGATCAGTTTAATCAAATATTTCTCCCCGCAGTGAGAGGAGCGGAGGGTGGAAACAGAATTTGGACAGGGATCTCCTGTGGGTGTGTTTGAAGCCAGGTAGAATAACGTCTGTTCAGGTTCTCTGAGTTCTTTCTACTTTGCTCTAAGGCAATAATTCTAGTTGTTTTTGTCTTTCAACTCATTAGTTCTTTTGAGGCACTTGAGATGGGGTGCAGCAAAAATGGTAAGAGAAGGGTTTGACATTCTTCTCTCATACGTTACAAATTATTCTAATGCAAACATAACTGGTTAGTGCTGACAGAATTGCAGCCCTGTGCAGGAGCTTCTGCAGGATTTTTTTTATAGAGGGAGGGGCAAACTGGCTGGTTTCTTACAGAAAATAAGAAGAATAGCTCCAGTACATTTTATCACATGCCAGGTTCAAGTTGCTCTTTTTAAATGAAAGCAGAGAAATGTGAGGTGATAGCTCATTGCGGGGGGGGGGGGCATTCCCCCTTGCTCCCCTCTAAAGATGAGGACTCTACTGAGAAAAACAGGATGGGAGAAACCCCAAAGTTTGCCATAGGTTGTTTTTTTTAAGGAAAAGTTTGAACCGAAAACCCACCGATTGTCTTTGGGGGGGGGGGGGGCTTAGTGGAATGGGAAATCCTGATGTGCTATTTATGAAAAAGCAGACTACTTGAATATATACTGCAACTATTATTCCTTTTCTTGAATTGTTACCAAACATTAGGATTTAAAAAATCTTTTTGTGCAGTTCTTGATAAACCTCTCTCTCTCTCTCACACACACACACACGGAAGCTTGCCAGATATCAATTAGTGCACTTTACTTGAGAAATCTGGTGTACATGATGCTCATTAGCTCATCAATATCTGGCAATCCTGTGCAAGAGACTCTTTGCGGATAAACTTTTAAAACCACTGCTATGTTGTGTACATCTTTGAATGCAAGGTTGATTTTCCTAAATCAGCCTGCTGTGTAGGTCTGCAGAACTGAATTTGTATAATGAAAATTGGAGTAACACAGGGATACAATAAGGACTTTAAATGGCTTTATGTAGCCTCTGAAAGCTGTCATGTTTTCCTAATTCACAATTAATTATTTAGATGTCTGTGTGAATCACAAGTCCTTCAATGTTGTGCTTCCTAGAGTTGAATTACAGTATGTAACAACTGGTGACTAGATTGCTTTCCCAATACTCTCATATTCTCTTTACCCTTCTGCAAACTCCTTTTCAGGTAACACAGCAAGATGTAAGGAAAGAAAATCCTCTTCAGTTCAAATTCAGGGCAAAGTTTTTTCCTGAGGATGTGTCTGAAGAGTTGATTCAAGAAATAACCCAGAGACTGTTTTTTCTGCAAGTAAAAGAAGCCATCTTAAATGATGAAATCTATTGTCCTCCTGAAACTGCTGTTCTTCTAGCTTCTTATGCTGTTCAAGCCAAGTATGGAGATTACAATAAAGAGATACATAAGCTAGGATATTTGGCCAATGACAGACTTCTTCCCCAGCGGTAAGAAACTTATATGGTGCATCAAAAGTCTGGCAAATTCTATGGGTACAGCGTATAACTTTAACATGAAAGCTTGTCTAGTGGCCTACACCATTGGTCTTCAATTTGGAAATTTAAAAATATGCATCTCCATCCCAGAAACTGTGGGCAGTATCCAACTAAAGACTTCTGCTACTGCAAGGAATGTTGGCTGAGCAGTGGATATTCCCCTTCTTCTCATCACTCTGTGTGGCCTCTAAATATGTTCCTGGGGTTCTTATGACAATCCCGAGCAGATTTATGGGGTGTACAGGGAGAGGAGAGAGCAGGGAAATTCCATTGCACAGCTGAAACTCCTCACAATAATGGAACTTGTTGCGCTAGTTAGATACTACCTGATTTTCTTAACTAGCTTGACTAGTAGCGTAAGTCAAAGTCCTGCCAAGCCACTTGTCAGATGGGCAAGCCCCATTCTAGCATTCACACCTTAAGTACAGAGTTTATGATTTCTTTTGTTGTTGAAATTTGTTGGCATTTTTAAAGGAGTTGAATACAATTGGTGATACACACATTGTTCTTGTTTACTGTTGCTGTTTATAATTAGTTTTGTTTCATTGTGGTCTTCAGTTTAGTATTTTAATTTACTTGTTTTTTAAAAGTTGTAAGCTTCCCTGCAGGCTGTGAATACAGTGAAAGGGCAGGGTATTGCAACACATTCAAATTTACTTCTTGTAAACCGCGTAGAGGTTTTACTACAATCAAGTGGTGTATAAATTTTGTTAAATAAAAATTTAAATCTAGAAAGGTGCCTCTGATTGTAACTTTTGTGTAAAAATAAAATAAATAGGGTACTCTTTTCATGATTATTCTTTATTTTGACAGCGTTTTGGAACAGCATAAATTGACAAAAGAGCAGTGGGAAGAAAGAATACAAAACTGGCATGAAGAACACAGAGGGATGTTAAGGTAAGTTCCCTGGTATAGTTAGCCCGCCTTTTTTGAATTTAGCTTGCTTTTAATTAATTAATATATCCTACAGACAGAACAAGTGCTGGTAACTGAAACATATTACTCCAAAGAGCCGTTTTAGCTTACTTCTGTACATAACTAGCTTAATTTTTTGCTACTTTTCCCTGCTTCTGTTTTAAATCTATCATAAAAATATAAATAAAAGCACAGTGGATCCAATCTATTATTTACTAATCGGCCTTTGTTAGAGCTACGGTTCTATCTGCATATACTTAGGGGTCTGTCCCATTGAAATTGGTGGGACATCCAAATTATAATGTATAGAATTGGGCTGTAAATCCGATTGGAATCAATGGATGAAAGTGCACAGTTAACCCACTTAAGACTTAGTTTAAGGATACAATTGGTAAGATTGGGTGCAGGATCCTTACTACTTCTGCCTATACAGTGACTATAGAAATTTGCATTTTATCTGACTTTCAATTATGTTCCTTTCATTGATCAGGGAGGATTCTATGATGGAGTACCTCAAAATTGCACAAGATTTGGAAATGTATGGAGTCAACTATTTTGAAATAAAGAACAAAAAGGGAACTGAATTATGGCTCGGTGTCGATGCTTTGGGTTTAAATATTTATGAACATGATGATAAGTAAGTAATATTAAAACTGTTTCAGTATTCCTGAAGAACTGTTCATGAGTCATCCTCCTTAATAGAGTTTGGTGTACATTGTTTTTAAGTGCGTGCTCTTCGGAAACTGAGCTGTAGGTGTTATTGTGGGTAGAGAAAAACCTGTTAAATGAGTGGTCCTGCCTGTTGGACAGAGGTAGATGAAATTGCACACTGCCCTTTCGCCCTATAACTTAAGTTTGCTCTTTTACTGTGGTTGTTCACAAAGTGTGTGTGACTAAGGATTCTTTTGTGTTCGCTAAAGGTTGACTCCCAAGATCGGCTTTCCTTGGAGTGAAATCAGAAATATTTCATTTAATGACAAAAAGTTTGTGATAAAACCCATCGACAAAAAGGCCCCTGTGAGTAAATCTTTTTAATTCCTTTTTTGGACCTGAACTATCAATATAGGACACATCTGTAACCCCTTCCTCTCTAGCTCTTAACTGTCCAAAGAGTTTTCTTGCTTAACTAATGTAACTTTTGCTAATATTTGTGTTGGAATTTCTCACTTACATTGTTTAATTGTTCGCTGTAGGGTTGGAGCTAATCCATGCCTGGAATTTTCTTTTCCCCACCTCCAAAGTACATAACTTTCAAAATCCTGTTTGAGTTTCCTCTGCCAGCCTGTTACAGTCACCAAGTTCAAAGAACCTTTTAGAGTTTTCCCCTGTTTCGTTGGGATTTAATCATTCTTAATGCTTTAGTGTCAGTTCTTTCACTGATCACACCTAATTCCAAGTCATTTATTGATCTGTTCTGGAACAGCTAATGACTAGTCCCAAAGATTGCTTCATTGGAAGTGAAAGTGTTACACTATCTATTTAAGAAGTTAGAATCTCATTAAGAAGAAGCTAAGAGTGTCCGTATTCTTAACAAGCATGTGTTTCTAGAACATAAATGGGATTTCAATAACTTAATTTTTTCATTAGGATTTTGTGTTTTATGCACCACGTCTGAGAATTAATAAGCGGATATTGGCACTGTGTATGGGAAATCATGAGCTGTACATGAGGAGGAGAAAGCCAGATACAATTGAAGTTCAACAGATGAAGGCCCAGGCTAGGGAAGAAAAACACCAAAAACAGATGGAGAGGTATGATGTTGACAACTTTGTATGAACAGTAGTTGGAATTCTTTTGTCATTCATAATTTCAGATGAACAAACAAAAACACTCTAGCACATGTGACCTAGAGGCATACTTAAGGAGGAAAAAATATTAAGTTCTATTTTTGCCCTCATGGACAGAATTCTCTAAAAACAGATATTAAATCAGTGCCAGTAGTGGAAACTGTTGTTGTCTTGGTATCGTACTTAACACCTGTTACACATGGATGCACACCAGTTCTAAGCAATGACAAATTGGTTTCATGTATTATATATAGAGAAAGAAAGAAAGAAAGAAAGAAAGAAAGAAAGAAAGAAAGGGTGTTTGTCAAAACCCCTGGTTTTCTTTAGCCCTGGGTAGTGTCTAGGAAAGCTCATGCCCTTATCCAGCTTTGTGTCACAATTGGATTTGTCCTCCAGCAAAGTTCACTGACAGCAGGCTGCCTGCTTAATTGGACTCTGCTAGAGTACAGATGCTTTGGGGAAAAACAAGCGGCATGTACTGGCATGTTTACCGCAGTGATTTCAGAAGATTTGCACTAAGTAAACTAAATAGCAACACTGCAGCTGCTGTTAGTGAGTGCAGACAAATATGTAATTGCCACTTGGACGTTACCATGAGTTAGCTACTATATACTGCCAGTGTGCAAAGAGCCTTGGTAGAGGTGAGGAGCAGATACTTAAGCGTCACAGTTTTGGGTCAGATTGTTTGTTGTCTTTTAAATTGTTTTGTGAAGTACCTAATATTGTGTTATCCTATGGGTTACTACCTGATAGATTGAAGTTTTGTAGGTACTTGATTGTCGTGTAGAACATAAGCACCCTGGTGGATCAGACCAATGACTCCTCTAGTCCAGCATTATGTACTCACAGTGGCCAACCAGACGCTCATGAGAAGCCTGCAGTTTAGAAGCACCATCTTACCCTACTTGATGCTGATCTTTAGCTAGATTGTTTGCCTATTCTGTTTCATTCCAGCTTTCACCTTGTTTTTTTAGACACTTAGGATACAACTTTGAGATCATCTGCCAGAACAAACCTTTTATTTTTATTTTTATTATTGCCGCAGGGCTTCCACCTAGCATATCATGTTGTGACTTGTATTGTGAGAATAAATTTGGCATGTTTGGGTAAATGGATTTTGATGGATGCACTGTAAACTCAGAATGAAAATCACTTCCTCCTCTGCTATGTTGATGCTGGCATTTATTTAATTTAGGGCACAACTAGAAAATGAGAAAAGGAAAAGGGAAATAGCAGAAAAAGAGAAGGAAAGAATAGAGCGTGAAAAGGAAGAGTTGATGGAACGGCTAAGACAAATTGAAGAACAGACGATGAAGGCCCAAAAAGGTGAGCATGTTCATCACATCTATTTCCTTCAGTAAATATTACGTTTGTGTGTCTATTAGGTTTATTATGTTACATTGCTTATCACATCATGTAAGGAAGTTAGCAGCTAGCTTAACAATACACTAATTTAACTTGCATCATATTTTAAACTTCAGGCAACTCTCAAAATATGTGATTTTATGAAACCAAAACCATGTATAGTCAAGACACATTGGGTTCAGTGGCGGGTGGGATTGCCAAAGTCTTTTTTTCCTGGATGTCTGCCCCCCCCCCAAAAAAAAACCATTGGCAAGCACATAAAGCTGAATGCATGCAACTTAAGTGAACGTAAGTTGCAAGTTACCTGTACATTGTTGTGTCCCTTTTTCCTTTTGTTCCTTTTTGCTTGAGTGCAATTTATGGACAGTGGCACACAGACCTTATGTGTCATTGTGAAGAGTACAAATTTGCAGTCAATCAATCAATAGACTTTATTTGCGTAGCCGACAGGCCATAGCATCAAAGGACAAACACCGACAAAAATACATTACAAATATAGTTACCATAAAATCTTATGACCTATTAAAACCCTAGGTAGAAGCTGGATTATCATTCATCAATGACCCTCTGTCCCATGGGCGGCGGCCTTTTCTCTGGTAGATTGTTCCAGGTCGGTTAAGTAAATAGACCAGCTAAATTGAAAGATTATAAATATAAATATAACCTCGGAGGGATGGTCAGGACAGGGAGAAAGATAATAATAACCAGATGCAGATAAATTAATAATCTCAGTACTTAAAACTTGGCAGAGGTAATAAAATACTAATAATAAAATATAATGATAATAATGATAAGATCCTAGGCGAGGAATCCGGGTGACGACACTCATGTCAGGTCTAAACCTTATTGCGGACCATCACTTTATAATAAATAGCAGCTTAGATTTAAAATCAAATTCAGTTATGTAGTGGTAAATCATTTATATTCTGCCACTAGGTGTGCAGTAAGCTTTAGTTTCAGAACTAGCTGTTGGCTCTGTCAGGAAAAACAGATAAAGGAAATGAAGGAAAGAAGCATGCAAAAAATGTAATAGATATAAACCCACTTCCACAGTGAGGTGTTCTATTTTACAGTCTGCTAGAAAAGTACAGTTAAATTGGATTTACTTCAGATGTGTTTCTGCTCTTTAAGGTTAAAGTCTTTATATCATTAAACATAATAGCTTTTGCAGGATTTTGCATAGATTTCTCTAGCGCAGCCAATGACAAATAAATGATGTAGTGAATGCACCTGGGAACCCAAAGAACTCACCCACAAAAGCCAAATGCATACTATGGATGTGCCAAAACGATGTTGGGGAGGGGATCAGTGTGGTGTAGTGGTTAAGAGTGGTAGTCTCGTAACCTGGGAAACCGGGTTCGCGTCTCCGCTCCTCCACATGCAGCTGCTGGGTGACCTTGGGCCAGTCATACTTCTTTGAAGTCTCTCAGCCCCACTCACCTCACAGAGTGTTTGTTGTGGGGGAGGAAGGGAAAGGAGAATGTTAGCCGCTTTGAGACTCCTTAAAGGGAGTGAAAGGCGGGATATCAAATCCAAACTCTTCTTCTTCTTCTTCATCTGAGTACCTAAGGCTTATACTTTGCACAGTGCAAGTCAGAATACTTGGGAAGATTACAAAAAACTTAATTCTCCCCCAAAAAATGTAAATGAGAAAAACCCCAAATATCTTAAAGCTTTTTTCCAGAAGCATGTGCAAATCTAGGGCCTTTAAAATTAGACACAGATGCCTGAGAACGGGAAGTGTTTTTGAAAACCTTGACAGAAACATGAGGAGCAACTTTTTTCACGCCAGACTAACTGTTCATTTAGCCTAGTACTGTGTATTTTGACTGATAATGGCACTCCAACGTCCCAGAAAGGGGGCTTATCATCTGCTTCATGTAACTGGGGTTGCCTGGGATTGACCCAGGGACCTTCTTGTGTGCAAAGCATGTTCTCTGAGCTTTAGTCCTTACTGCTATGGTTTGTGTGCCTACGCAGCTATCACGGCTGCCATGTATTTGGGAAAATGGCTTGCATTTGAACTTTCTTTGGCTTTTATACCTGATGCTTTTATAATTCCTCCTGAGAAAAATGTGAACAGTTTTGACGGTTAGTGGATTTGTATGAGAGCCAGTTTGTTTTGCAGTCTGGGCAGTAAAGTTTTGCTCTGTTCTCTTGAATATCTATAAAAAAAATTAAGTGAAATGCATCCTTTTGCATCCTTTCACAAGACTAAGTTCCTGCCAACGCGGTCAAGTGGAGAAAACATTGGAATATTCCATTACAGTGGTACCTCCACTTGCGGGCGGGATCCGTTCCGGAGCTCCGGTTGGGTCCCAAGGTTTCTGCAACTGGAGATACCGCTTCTGCGCATGCTCACGGAGTGTTGAGCGCTTCTGCGCATGTGTGCGCAGTGAAACCTGGAAAAATACTTCCGGGTTTGCCGGAGGTGAACGCAAGTAGAGGTACCACTATACAATGTAAAATCGACATTAGATTATAATCTGATGTGTTGGGTGGCCATCTTACATGTATGTTTTAGTTGAGATTCCTGCATTGCAGGGGGTTGGACTAGATTACCCCCAGGGTACCTTCCAACTTTACAATTCGACGATTCTATAATTCTGTGTATGAGTTGCAGTGTAAAACAAGTTGGAAGACATGTCCTAGGTTTGTTGAACTTGGCAGAAATCAGGATTGAACTCCCCTCTCCATTGGTTTATGGCTGGGGAATTCATTCCTGCTTGGTTACTACCTCCCCCAAACTCTGCTGCGAACTGCCTCTCAGAGCTGATCCATGGGGTTTAAGATGAAGATCTGCCCACTGGGTCAAAAAGTTTTCCCATCCTTGTCCTAGGCAATCTCCATTGAAAGCAATTGAGAACTTCTGTTCTTACTCTTAGAAAAATAACAGAGAACTCTTTAATATTCAGTGTTGGAAATATTTAGTTTTACAGTGGTACCTCGGGTTACATACGCTTCAGGTTACATATGCTTCAGGTTACAGACTCCGCTAAGCCAGAAATAGTACCTCGGGTTAAGAACTTTGCTTCAGGATGAGAACAGAAATCGTGCTCCGGCGGCATGGCGGTAGCAGGAGGCCCCATTAGCTAAAGTGGTGCTTCAGGTTAAGAACAGTTTCAGGTTAAGAACGGACCTCCGGAACGAATTAAGTACTTAACCCGAGGTACCATTGTATTGACTCGGTGTAACACAGTCTGGCTGCCTTTTAGTTAATCTGATCTTTTCTAAACTTCTGCATAGAATTGGAAGAGCAGACGAGAAGAGCCCTAGAGCTGGATCAGGAGAGGAAGAAAGCAAAAGAGGAAGCAGAGCGCCTGGAAAAGGATCGGAGAGCTGCAGAAGAGGCAAAAGCTGCTCTGGCGAAACAGGCTGCTGACCAAATGAAAAATCAGGAACAGCTGGTAAGACGTTACATGCGCCTGATTATGTTAGGATGTATTGTTTTCAAGGAGTTTGTTAAAATTCTGGCATCCAAAGAGGAAACGGTATTAAGAAAACCATGCAGGTTCATAATTGCATGATGTCATCTAAGTACAAAAAAGGTAGATGCATGTACTTTCTCTCCCCGTATAGTGTGGGAGAGAAAGGTGTATGTTGCATCTTGAGTCAACAATCCACTAGGTTGCATCCAAACCAAAGCACACATAACAGGGCAGGTAGAAGCTGACTTCTCTCCACTCACCAAGGTTGCCTCTCTGTTTTTGGGGATCCCCTCAACCCCTCTTGCTATAGCCCACCACTTTTGGCAAAGTACTCTGACCTTAGGGGAACCTCTCCGACCTGCTTGGGGGTGTGTGCTGAGGAAGTCTGTTTCCACCAACTCCATTACATGTCTCTGGATCCATTCTACCATCTTGTTAATATTAAGTTCAGATATTCCTTATACCACCACCATTCAAATGGTGGCACTATCCTTATGAAAATACTTTCTCCAAAGGATGCCCTCATGACTCTTCCCCCCCCCCCCCCAAGTTTTGGAGTCACATGATAACCAGGCTCATTTTAAAAAAAATATTTTTATTATATTGCTATTGGTGAATTAACTGGTCAGTATTAAAGGAATATTAAGTGGCTTTATAGTTTGGTTATTTTCTTATTTGTCTAGCTATTTTAGTTTTGAACGGTTGCTTGTTCATTATACGAAGCTTATGAAAAGGTGACTAAGATTTCTTTACAGCTTCATCTTTAATGCAGACCAATACATGATGTTGCCTTAGGGCTAATAACTTTTTCTTCTTACTTCCTAGGCGGCAGAACTTGCGGAATTCACAGCTAAGATTGCACTTTTGGAGGAGGCCAAGAAGAAGAAAGAAGAAGAAGCTTCAGAATGGCAGCACAAAGTAATTATTTTTAATGTACTAAAGCTGGGATTTGTGAATGGGCAAAGCATTCTGAACTGCATGCCAGAGCTGAGAACAAGGCATTTCCCAGTATCGGGTGTCAAATTCTCTGCTGGAAAATGCTTTTTAAAATCTTCTGCAAGCTTACAGTACTCCTTGCCCCAATGTGAGATGAGAGCAATACTTGGACTTGCATATGTCCTGTGCTTTCTACTTTCTCTGGCTAGAAGGCAGATTGACTTGATGGAATATAGATTCATCCAAACCCAGGAGGGAAACAAATGTCTTCATGAGCTTATCTGTACCTACTTCTTATGCTTTTCTGAAATCACATCCTAAATAGGTATCCTACTTTTCTCCTAGAGACAGGGAAAGCTGTTAAGAGTCTTCTGAAAATGCTAATCATTTTAATGAGCACTTGGGGTCTAGGGATGTATCACAGTTCCTTTGTGTTAGTTGACTGCAGCTGACTTGGTATTCAGAAAGATGTGTGGAGCTGCTTGAGTTGACTTCTGGTCTGCTCTGGAGACTTTCAAAGTAATTTTAAGCATATATTCTGTGGCCCGTAAACATGTTAAAGGAATGACAGGCTAAGTTGGTTCAATCTCATTGACACCAATCTCATTAAAGCATAAGGCTGGGAGGCTGTGGAGCCTAAGTGTTGACTAATCCTCATTACTACCTTTTAGGCCTTTGCAGCCCAAGAAGATCTGGAGAAGACCAAAGAAGAGCTGAAGACTGTGATGTCTGCTCCTCCGCCGCCACCTCCTCCGCCTCCCCCTGTAATTCCTCCCACGGAAAATGAACATGATGAACAGGATGAGAATAATGCAGAGGCCAGTGCTGAATTGGCTTCTGATGGCGTTGTGAATCACAGGAGCGAGGAAGAGCGTGTAACAGAAACACAGAAGAATGAACGTGTAAAGAAACAGCTCCAGGTAATGAAGGATTACAGAGGCATATAACATAGGCCACAAACCAAAAAGCTCTCTGCTGGTTGAGCATGCTTAGCCTTGCTTTGCACAGTAGTCCCCTGCAAAGCTTTTGAAATGACTCCTATTGATCCCATCTTGGTGTGAGTGTGAGGGGACGTTCCTGCTCAACTTGCAGAGGAAGTCATTTGGTTCAGTGGGCCCTGGGCACAGTACATACTGCTTTGCAAAAATTCATAATATATCCCTCCACACATCTAGACATTCTCCTTCCGATTAAGAGAAACCTATTTTTGTGATGTGGCCTATATTTTGGAAAATGCAGTCGGAGTTGCTCAGTTTGTCTCTTGTGCTGCTTTACAAATTTTGTTTTGGAACTAGGTACTGCAGCCCCATGTGAAAATAACAACATGCTTGTAATGCCCAACACAAGCAAGTTCCTTTATATGAAAATTCATACCACAGAGTGCAAATGTTGCTTTTATTCTCTTTGGATTTTGAGCATTAAGCTAGTTAACACAGCATTTTGAAAGCTAAGATCAGATTCCATCTTAATTGAAGCTCTTGGAGGGGGCCATTCTGCTGAGCTTCCTTTCCAGAGGCCTTTAGGCCCCTTTAATAATGCATGAAGAGACACCATTTACTTGGGAAGGCAATCAGAACCAGTAAGTGAGTTTCCTGGCAATGCTGTTGTACAAATCATCATTTTGAAGGATAAATCCATACAATACAGAAGCAGATGATTCCTTCATCTGATAGGTAAATAAGTTAGTTTAGTAGAGCATGATGGGTAGTCAACTAAGGTGTCCCATCAGGGCAAGGATTTCTACTTTTGTAACAAGACTCCCCCCCCTCCACTCTGTGCATGCTCCCTTCCCAAATTTGTGCCAGAGGATTAGGGGAACTTCTAGAACAAAATTAGGGGCACACAGGAGGATTGGGAGGGGGGAATGTTTTGTTATGCAAGTAGAAATCTTTGCACTAACAGAATGTTCACTAAACCCAATGTAATTTTAAAAAATCAAAAAATCTTAACCTGCCTATGTTTTGCTGTATCATAGGTTGGCCTGAGCAGTGAATCTGGCAAACAGTGAACACAAAAGTTAATACAATATGTCTGCTTTTCTGTACCACGTTATGTCCCCTTCTGTTGCAATTCTTTCTAAGAATATGTGATTGAGGAGCTATACATGAGACACTGATAACTATTCTCCAGAAAAAAATATTCCAAACCTTGTTTTAAGTTGAATTTTCTGAAAATAGTCCACTAAAGGAACAATAATATATCATCTTCCCTTTTGCACATGCATACCCCTTTGTTTTATGTATGTATACGTTCTGGCTGTTTGGTTGGAAGATTAATCCTGTACCGCAAATGAAACATTGAACTTGACAGAACTGGCAGCGTCTAAACCGGCAATGCTTTTGTTCCACAGGCCCTGAGTTCCGAGCTGGCCCAAGCCAGAGACGACACCAAGAAGACCCAGAACGATGTCCTTCATGCGGAGAACGTTAAAGCCGGCCGCGATAAATACAAGACTCTTCGACAGATCCGGCAAGGCAATACGAAGCAGCGCATTGATGAATTTGAAGCAATGTGAGAGCTGTTACTTTGCATATATGTTCTTCATTAAGCTTGAACCACCAGCAGAGAAATGCAGGCCTTTCTGAAAGGAACACACCCCACCTTGCCAAAGCATTTATACCAGTTTGTGGTTAAAACTCATTTCATGAAAGCCGTTCAACAATAAGGCAGCCTGTCCGCTCTGGCTCTCTGGGAGAGGTGGTGGTCACATCTCCATGATCTCATATCACATGGTTTTTTTTTATTCTTTGTCCTCTGGAGGACTACCACCATCTTATACTGACAAAGCTGTTAACCTAAACAGGAATGATTTGAAAGAACACTAGCTTTTACCTTATAACTGGCCACAGTTTTTGGCATGGGTGCACTTTGGATTTTTCTTTTCTTTTTCCATTTTAGTGAATTTGCAAGAACTTGCTTAATTTATCAGGGGTTACGGGGTGATGTTTTTCTTCTGTTAGGTGGAGTTCCTTGGTGTTTCACGTCCTGTCATCATTGATGGTTTTCTTTGCCTGCCTGTTCACAAAGGTCTAGATGGCAGGTAGCTGTTCCAACATACTGTTTTTTCCCCTTAAAAAAAAAGTGGAACATTAACCTGTCGAAAGTCTTTTGCTTATAGGTCTGTTTTGCTGAAGTCTTCAGTTCTTCAGATAAAAGTAGGAAAAACGAGACAGGGATAGGTAACCTTTGGCCCTCCAGATGAACTACAACTCTCATCAGCCCCAGCAAGCATGGCTAGGAAAAATGGGAGCTGTTTAGTTCAGTAGCATCTGGAGGGCTCAGGTCCCCCACCCCTGCTCTGGGTTCTCTTTCCCTTGCATTTTGTTAGCTGTCATATGAATTGCAATGTGGGAAACCCTGGACCTTTCTGGCAAGAGAGCATATGAAAACATCAGTCCCATGGAGGGGACACTAGCCTACCTCACTACGATATGCATGATGACTGGTCTTTCAAACACCGTATAGAAACGCAAACTGCATTATGCTAGGTTTCTGCATAGCTAAACACTACACAAATCTAGGAGCCTTTACTCTTTAAATATTTTCTTCTATTGCAGCATAGATTTGTAGTATTCAAACAGTGTTCAGCTGCCTTTTTGTTGAGTAAAATTCTGCACCATGTATCTTCCATTTTTTTAAAAAAAAATGTAACCTGGAACTGGTATATGATCCACTGAGAGGGTGTGAAACATTTGAGCATGTTTTCTGGGTCTTGGGTTCCTTTGTACTAAATTAATGTTGCTCTGAGGCTCATTTCTTAATGAAGTCTGCGTAAAACAATGCTGCCTTGTACTTGCTTTGAGGGCCCACTTACACATCAAGGTTGTTCCTTCCATGATAACTGAAGATGCAAGGGAATTGTGCATATATATATATATATATATATATGCGCTTTTCAGGGAGTTCAGTCACAGGAATTGTGGCAGAACAGGGGCAAATGAGTTGTATGAACAAACATTTAGGCTGAAGTTTAGCATACAGTCAGGTAATATTGAATGTATGTTTAGAACCATTGCTGAATCACCCTTATCTAATGCTCTTTGGGATGATTAATTGGCATGTTGACTTTTGAGGACCATGTTTATGAATGAAATTACGCACCGTTTTTATAACTCTTTAATTAGTAGTTGGGAGAAAGCCCTGCTTTCCCTGAGGATGGTTCAGCTAACCTTTTGGTATTATGCACTCAAAATTTACACTTCCCTATTAAAATTGCCATTTTATTAAATATCCTTTAATAAGGATTCCTTATTGAACCTTCTTGAGGGTTGTCCCCCACCCCACCCTTAAATTTAAGGGAGATCTTGGAGAGAGGACATCATGAAAGGAACACAGACACACTGGTAGCTGATTTTCCTTGCACGGGTGTGCAAAAGCTGTGCACATGCTCAAATGTTTGCCCTGGGCACTTTTGCTTGCAGTCAGAGAAATTGGGCAGATGCCTTGCACATTTTCATGCAGCAGATCATGAGACCTATATGTCCAAAGTGTTCAAAATATTTTGCCATAGCAAATGGAATGCAGTGTATGGCTCTTCCCTGAAATGTGTGTTCGTGCATTGACAATGCCAGACTATCAGTGTAAGGGGGGGAAATACGAGTTAGATTTGCTGTTCATAATATACAATGTATAGATTAGAGTTTAAAATGGATCTAATCCATATATAAAACTGTGTGACTTTTTTCTAAGCAACCAGGAATTAACGTCTGTAATGAGGTTTTTCACTGTGAACAAAAGTGATGGTGATGGTTGTCACCAACTGTTGAGGAAACACATGTTGATGCAGAGGCATTAAGAAAATAACTTGGTGAAGGAATTTTCAACACGCTTCCCCTCTTCTTCCCCCTCCCCTTCTTAGCATCTTTTGTGTTGTAAAATTAAGCTACAGTTAATAACACCTATTATTTTGGATAACATTCATTGGCTAACAATAAAGAGACTACAGTTCATTCTTCTGAGATCCATTGTTGTTATTTAATCTCATCTTTCCCGAGCAAAATGGTTCGGTTTTGCTGCGGGGGGAAATCACAATTTGCTTAAGACTAGTGAATGGATGTCTGGAACACAGATGACAAATCTTGTAATGGGAATTCATTTAAAATGTAAGCAGAAATGACACTCCTATGGAGGGAGGGGGCACTAACTGCTCACTACAGATACAAGGGAAAAGGGTAATTGCAGGTTCGAAAAAAAGGAATCACTGGCACAGAATTGCTGTTGAGGACGAAGAGCTTATTTAGGCAGCAGGTGTTCATATGACAAAAATTGAGGTTTTTTCCTTGATGTATGCTCCAGCTTTGTGACATGGAGTTGCATGAGTAGCATAAGATCTCACTGCTAGCATCACACACAGATTTGAGAGGGAGCTCATTTGAACACCATTGACTTAATGTTGCATATAAAATGGGACTTCACTTGTTTGGTTTTTTTAAGCTGTGTAATTTGAGAAATCCAGAACACCCAAAATACGTTTTCCGTTTCATATATGCAAGCCGGTCTGGAACATAGGAAGTTGCCTTCTACTTACTCTGACCATTGGTCCATCCTGCTCAGTATTTTCTACACTGGCTTTGCAGAGCACTGTCCTAGTTGGAGATTCAACCTGGGACCTTCTGCATGCAAAGCAGATACTCTCTCACTGATCCATGTCCTGTCTCATGCTCGTCTGTTTTGTAATACATCAACAATTCTCAAGTCCCTGCAGTCCAAGTACACAAATTAAAGCTGTTTACCATAGTTGTGACTTGATTCTGGTCCCCAGGTAGTGTACAGGAGGACTCCAAAATAGGACTTTTCCACTGCTTAGAAGATGCAGGGGGAGCACAGGATGTAAAGCTGAATACTGGGAAGTTTCCTCAGGCTGCTGCTCCAGTCCCCACCCCCTTGTGTGCTGGTTCCGTGGGCTAACCTAGAGGTGAGGTCCGAGTCCAGTCCGAGGTTGAAGGTGCACTATGGAGGCAGTCCGTAAAAGCTGAAGCTGGATGCAGGGCAGGGAGTCGGGTGAGGTTAGGAGCTCCGGCAGGAAAGCAGGACAGGGTTCAGGCAGGAACTGACAACCAACAAAGTTGTTCCCGCAACTTGGGACTGGGGCTGGCTTTTATCTACCCCGAGGCATAGGGCGATCCCGATCCTCAGGTGACTCGCCTCTCCTGGCCTGGAGGCGAGCACTCCTCCTGCGGGAACTTAGTTCCCTCCGCCTCTCTGCCCTGAGCCTCTGCAGCTCAGAAGAGGCTGGAGGGTTACCGGACCCAGAGGCAACCTCAGCTTCCCCTGACGGGGCTGAGAGTGGAACACCTGCAGGTAATGGGTCCTCCATCACCTCAGGAGCCAGAGCAGGCTCAGCTGGTGCCTGCACCTGAGGACCCAGCACAGGTGAGGACCCTTCAGGTTCAAGCCCCAGCCCCGGCTCAGCTGGTTCTGGAGGTGGGGAATCCTGTACAGGCTGGGATTCCTCAGGTTCAGCATCCGAATCCCAGGCCATCACAGCTTGTTTGCAGAACAAGCAGTCCATTTGGCTGTCCTACACTGATCATCAAGCTACCCAAGGCATTGGCTTTTATAACTGAGACTCATCTTGGATTCATTGTAGTTCACTGCCAGGGCCCCGGCTGGTGGCCAGCAGTAGCAAGGCAACTATTTGGCTCAGTCATTGGACAAGAGAGAAGAAACAAATGAGGCTGAGGATAATGATGATGATGGAGGTTGTAGCACTAGACTAGATTTTCCACAGGCCGTCTTCAAACAGAAAATCACTACACATACAAAACAGGCATGCATACATTTCTATGGCCCTTTGTGCAATGTATTTGTTGTTTATCATTGTGGACCGTTGTGTGTAGGTTTTCGTTGTTCAGATCCTGGCTCCTCAACCATGCACTGCATTTCACACACGTTTTCCACCTAATGGGATAAGATGCATGTACTCCGCCTCCCCCTTTCCTCGCCGAAATAGAATCAAGGTAAGGCTGAAGAAACGTCCAATGTATATTTTATGTTCTGAGTTTCAGAAGCCTTTTCTTTGGGCGGAATAAATATTCTGAATCCACCAGGCTCTTTCCTACTGTTAATGTGACTTTTCCACCTCAAAATATAAAGATGACTTCTCCCACTATTCCCAGGGGGAAGCAAAAAAAGAGGGCGGGCGATGTCAATTCATTACCAGGAGAAGACAAGAGGTGAAATAAAATGATTTATTCATAAAAAACGCTGATTTTCTGTTTTGCCTGGTGTGTGCAGTTGGTTACTCGTAGTTGCTTTGCTGGACAGGGATATGCAAAATAACCTGTGGGCAAAGCGTACATCCCACTCCATTTTCAGTCCTGCTGGCTCTGTGTTGGACCTCTGTTCTGTTTTCCCTTGGGGGCCATTTCTTGCAGTGGGGATGTGCTTTCACAAAGCCCCTTGCCTTATTGAAAGCAGCAGGGCTCGGCTTTGTCTGCAGTGCACCCCTTCTATCTCCATAATGATGCCCACCCCATGCATCATTTGTCTTCTTTTCTTTTTTGGCCATCGTAC